TTAGTAGAGTTGGAGTTAAATGCGAATACAGTGTATATCAACTATGCAATGTTTGCTGGCATGATATAGATGGCTTCATTTTTGCATTTTCATGCTCAGAAAATTAGATCTAACCAATTTTTCCGCAAACTAACATTTACAAAATGACTTAAGTTTTTAATTTAATCATATTTTTTAACAATCTGAAATTTCTGACAGGTAAATGATCAGGATGTCTTAGTATCTTAATCTTTCAATCTTTCTAATTCTTTAATTTTTTATTCAAGATACTATCATTTTTTTAAATCTTGAAATTTGGAATCAGGAAGGTCAGTTAATTACATAATGTAATCATGTGCATATATTTAATTTAGATGTGTTTTTATTTCCCCCTTTTTAATATTTAGTGTTGTTTTGTTTTTGGGGGTTTTGTTTTGTTTTTTGGTGGGTTTTGCTTGTTTTGCATTTTATTTTTTTGGGGGGGGGGGGATTTACATATATATGTGTAACTGTGTTTGTAATAAACCCAAATCTATGCCTAGAACAGGCTGCAGACAACATGACTATTTTTTAAACTTTGTTGTCTCATGTGCAATCTATAACTATAAATTACCTTGATCTGATTCTCATACCAGACAGTAGGCCATCCCCCTAACGTTATTGCTGTTCAAAACATGAGCACTTCAAAAATAATGTAATCACTGACTGAATACAACATTTTTCTTTTTTTCCCCATTCTCTCATCATATGATCGGTGCAAACCATTTACCGTAAATCTTTAAGTATATATATTTGTACATGCCATGTGGGCCTACCAATAAAGTTAGATTTTTTTCCTCCTTTCCCTTATCCCTGAAATTATGGTGTAAAATAGTGGTAGCTGTCCCAGATGTGGTAGAATCTGTATACATCATGTATTATTATATTATATAATTAATTGAACAGTCCCTTTTACCTGGCTAGACTGATTATGTTTCCAATCTTCCATGTAATGTTGATGTTTTCATGTTCACAAGTAGCATTCATTCATGTAGGCCTACCGTCCGTACATGGTTTAATCTGGTCAGTTTTATTTTTATCTCAAATATCTCCCAACTTTCAGGCTGCTTCATCATAGGGTGGGTGGTTGGCGGGTGCTCAGTGCTCCGGTGTGGTTTGTTGCTCCTTTATTGAATTATAGTTATTAAATGTCAAACATCTATTATCGTCCTTCAGATCTCTCCTTCTTTTCTTTGTACTTGTATGTTACTCTGTTTAGTAACACCTCTAAATTTCTGGCACTCATGATTATTTGACCTTAGATTTCAATTTGTGTTGCAAGCAAGTGCTGTAGAAGTAGAACTCCTATAAAAACTTAAAGAAAAAAACAAAACAACTCAATGATAGCTGAATTGTCTTCAATTAATAATGTAGTCTGCATCCGATCGACATGCATACGAATACATGAAGGCCTACTTAGCCTTTCCCAAATAAGACCATTGTAAGAGTTTCTGCTTGTCAACACAGCCACAGCGCTGCCTGGATGCTGCCCGTCATATTCTCAGGCAGGGACTCTGCTGAACGGTTCGAGTTAATTAACCCCAGTATACCACAGTCACATGTAATTTATATCACGATATTAAAAAGAAATGTGATGTTCAGTATCAAAATTGCAGCGCATTTCTATTTTTGGGTTAGGCATACTCAATACCCGGTACACATAATCTACAATTTATTTGTAGAAAATGTTGTTTGTTTGTTTGATCTCCTTAGTGTGCAAGTGCAAGTTATTTATCAAATTTGTTTGTTTTTGTTTTCATCATCATTCAACAAATGATGGGTTTGGAAACATCAGTAAGTTAGTAATGCAGAATTAGTTATAATAAAAAGTAATTAGTATGTACACGTATTACAATTTACAAATGGTCCCATGTATACCAAAGCTCTATTACTTACTAGACAACTAAACCAAGTAGGAGAATTGTTCCTTGAATTTCTTTTGATGTTTGTGACACATTTCTGCATACATGAATATATAGTACATGTATCATGTACATAGAAGTAAAGGCTTCTGTCAACAGCTTGGACAATAAACCATCGATTGACCCCTCTCACCTGTGGTTTTTTGTATTTCTTTGACTCTATAATTAATGTTTTTTTACTTTTAAATATATAGCTGTTTTTGTGCGCCTCCATTGACACAATTTAGATCATTTTGAAGGTGGATTTCCTACCCTGCCTATCAGGGCCAACCCAGGCTGAGAGGGATACAACATCCCAACAGAACTTTCGAGATACTTGATAAAACTTTTCTCTCCACTCAAGAATCGAGTTCAGGTCTCCACAGAATAGCTCAGCGCATAACTCGTGATAACTGCTACACCACAGACACCAGTGTCAAACAATAACAGATACACAGTATTAAAAAAAAGTAGTTGTTCCCGAATCCGATCTGGATTTTGGGGATTGTCTTGTTACTGAGACAACTTCTTGGGACTTCGGCATACATGTATTGTGGTAGGGTGGCCAGTTCCTTTCCACACCGCCTTTACTTCCCCAACTCGAAGTCAGGTACCCATTACTGCTACTACTGCTAGGTGGGCAGTAGGGGGTGCAAAAAATCTGTCCAAACTGAGGCTCTAACCGGGACTATCCGCTCCGCCACCGCACCCAACAGATACAGTATGTTGCCTATACTATAGAAAGAACACTCATGACTATGATGAGTACAATAACACAGTGTTGAAAACTGAACTAAGACTTGACAAGATATGTACATATGTATGTGTGAGGAATCATGGTGAAATCAGGCGCTCATCAGAAAAATAATAAAAGCGAAGAAACACTGAAACAGGCATTTTCCCGCCAGTTTGGCTTTATTTTATCGAATTTTTGTGTTTTGGCTGAACACATTTTGTGTCCATAAAAGAACTCATTTCCACATGAATTTTACAGAAAATAAAAAACGACTATGGGCACAAAATATGTAAATGTTCAGATTTCAAGGACTCTCCAGCTACTGAAGATGCCAAACTTTGGCAGCAATTTTCTCTCTCCGACTGAACCACGAGGGGACCCCCACCTCCTTCAATAGCAATCTTGACTTTTATACAAGATAGAGATTGGTTATTTTTTTTCATTTAAAGCAAGGCAATTGAATAAGCTTTCACTTCAGATGATATCAATAGCTCCCTACGCCCAAAAATCGACGAGCTCTTGATTCCACTGTATCATGACACATAAAACTACATATGTATAGATATATATGCGAATGCAAAGCCACAGGCTCTGTACTCTGTTCCAACACCACGCCACGAGTGGCCACCTTAGACTTGGTCCCATCCAGGCCAGTAAATCAGTTATCATACATGTACTAATACATGTAATACTAGCCATAATCACAAAATCTTCCACTACATTGTCCCTTGGACTCCCTTGTTTATTTTAGCAAGTTTTTACAGCGGTCGCAACTGCATAAGGTCATTATGAGCACGAAGGGGTAGTTGTCAACAGAAGTCCAAAGGGTAATCAGGCTCACTGTGCTCACCTCTCTAGCCTCAACAGCACAAAGTCTGCTTCGACTATCAAGGCACGCTGGAAACAGCAGTTCACAAGAGAGTGACAAACATACAAAAGAAGTACAGGAAAAATGACGATAGCAAGAATGAGGAAAGAAAAAGCAGCAGTTCCCCCATGTTGTTCCGGCACAGCTGTGTAAGCGTAAGAAAGATCATGAGTTCGATTCCTATCAGAGGACCAACAGTATGTTCCTTGGGAAAGGCATTTTACACCAATTTCCCTCACTTCACCCCAGGTGGAAATGGGCACTCGATCAAGAATGTTTCCAGGTCATGTTCAAGATCTGCTGGGTATAATTATAAATAATTGTATTTGTATAGAGCAGAGGGCACGCATATGCACTATATAAATGTAATTGCATGGTATTATCGTACCATTATAATTCATTGTAACATCCAGGGCACGCGTGAATTAAAACGTTCCGCCGTCAGTTGGATTAATGATTATTCTACCACTCCTGTCAGGTCAGTTCAACTTGCATGGATTCAAAGACTTAGCAGCCAATCACTTTAAAGTATTAAACAAGTACAAATTTAATTTAAAGCATATATAATATATATGCACACAAGTCATTTTCTAGCAAGACTTGGAGACGGGAAAAAGAGAGAGGGTAGGGATACACAGGAATCCTTTCATTACCGGTACCCGCACACAACTAAAGTAACTGCTGAACAGAAAAATAAAGCAAGTCACACACAAAAAATTACAATTAAGAGAGAGAGAGCAAAGGTTAGTATCCCAGGTTGTTTTTCCCTAAACATCTCGCTCCTCTGTTTAGTTTTAGCTAGAGTTTTACAGCACTAGCAACACAATGTCACAACAGTGCCCAAGATAATCAGATTTTTTGTGTGTTTTTAGTCAGAGTTTTACGGCACTTGCAACACAATACGGTCATAGTATTATAAATAAGTCCTGAAGATTAGAGGTGTTACAAGAGAGTAACAAACACAAAGTAGAAGGAGGGGAGATAAAGATGATAGATGTTTGATTGGAAAGAAGGAGCAAATCACACCGGAGCACCCACCAACCACCCACTCTTATTCCTCTGACGCCGATTATTATGTTGCATTTCCACAACATTATGACCATCATTGTGTCAACATGTTCATCCACTCCTGAATAGGAAATGACAAAATTCCTAGAGAGGTTTATTTCTTGTTTTAGTAAGTGTGTTACAGCACTTGTAACACAATAAGGTCATATAAGCACAGAAGACTAGACGCGCTACTAGAATAACAAACACAAAAAATAAGAGATATGAATAATAGATGGTTTGATAGGAAAGACGGAGCAAACCACACCACGACACCTACCAATCACACACTCACTCTGCTACTCCTGGTATTAGTCATAATATAACAGACAACAAAGAAACAGGCAAGTTACTCATCAACACTATCACAAATATCAAGAATACTACACCTCGAACACACAACCAGGAATGAAATAAAAACTCGATACTTTGTAATTTCAATACTCAAAACAAAAATTCTTTATTTGTTTTTTTTTCGCGTTTTTGTATCAAATGACAAAACAACCGATGGGTTTATTTACAGGTGAAATGAACAGTTTTTCCAAGGTAAATTTTCTCCCCACAACAACTGGAAAAATGTAATGTCAACGTTTGGTCAAAAGATAATTTGAAAGATAACCCAAAGGAACAATAACGATTAGGATATTAAAATACAGATAGATATAGATAAGATAAATATACAGCAAAAATGTAAATATGATAACTTGAAATTAGTAATCCAAATACGTTCATTTATAAGCATAAAAGCTGAATACTAAAGAAAAACAAAAACACAAAAGAAAAAAAAAACAGGAAAAAGGAAAGGGAAAACAAAAAGCCAAAGAAAAGTAATTAAAAAACCACTTCAAAAACTAAAAAGAAAAATAGCCTCAAAACGTGTAACCAAAAAAAAAACCAACTCAGATGTAATAACCCTTAGACAGCCCATAAGAGCCAGCTTGTTCTGATATGAAATCAAAACTAATAATGGCAGTGATCAATCCTGTCCCTTCCTAAACACCCAAGAAAAATCTCACCAAAACTTCACATTTTACCACCAATAACTAAATAGTCCATTAACTCATATGGGGTACATAAACTAGAGGTACAGTGCTATATAAAAAAAAAAAAAATTCTATGCGTCTGAAACTTCGGAATCTACTAAACTGGTACCTTTGTGCCTTTGTTTTGTTTAGTTTTTGTTTTTATTTCTCTTGTATATCAATTTATGATCTTACTGAATTCCTAGTTGCTTTTTTTTTTTTAATCTTTTAACGATTGTCTCAAATTGGATTACAATTTCAAGTTGATACTTATATGACATGCTTTTCCGCTACAAGTGCATAAAGTACAACAGTGTCTGCATTCATTTCCAGCACAAATCTGCTCTGCGTTTAAGCTCAACTTCACGCCTTCTCTCCTCAGTTGGCTGCAGCTTGGTTTTGCCCCTTGAAGCTCACCTGTAGACAAAAAAGAATCATAAAAACCACAATCAAAACATATTTCTATTTTTTTCCTTTCATCCTTTTAGCAGAACCACAAAACCCTGTTTACTAACACTGCAGTACAGATATAAAAACTCCACGCAAGTCCAACAATGTAATCAAAATGGCCACTACCGTACCTGACTCCACTCTACGCCCACTAGTTAATGGACCTTGATTTTATAGATTTTTTAAAAAACCTTATCTAGTAAGGGCACGTACCAAAAGCCTGTCGACTCATTTCAGTTTCATTAAGTGGGCAAAGTAGCAATGGCACATGTGGAAAAGGGGCTCTCGTGGCCTACAGGTAAAGGTGTTGGCCTCATTCAAAGGTCCTGGGTTCGAATCCCGATAGCGACTGAAAAATTTTCCTCTCTAAAATTGTCTCCTTTCAACTCCTTTCCTGCTCTCTAACAATGTTCTGTCATCTGCTTTTATCTCCTCCTTCTGCCGAAACGCGGGCAAAATTCAAAATTTCTTCCAACTGAAAAAGTTATAATTAATGTATCCCGTGCGCTCATATGACCTTATGCAGTTGCAAGCGCCCTTAAACACCCCCCCCCCCCCAAAAGAGTGGAACGAAGGCTAACGACATCCCATTTCATTGTCAGGCAATCACATCCATCTTGTCATTTAAAATCTCTTCATTCCGTTTTACACAAAAGGTAAATTTTGCCCATTCTCTACCTATGCTGGCAATGGAGAACAAAGTAACTCAAAACTTCAAACTAGAAAGTGAAAGTGATCCTTGCAGTAGATCAGAAACATAACAGTACATCATGACCCTTGCATCAACTCAACTGTCTTCACTAGTCGTGCAAGTCACATTACTTGTCAACAGATTTTTAAAAAGACCAATTCCCTTCATTATCAACATTTAAAAAAAAAAAACCAAACCAAAGTACACGTTTCTATCTCTGCTAGATCAATTGGGGTTTCTTTTTCAGTATAAAATTCAATGTTCAACAAAAAAGAAAATAAGAGACACCAAAGAGACAATCACTGCAATTTACAACACAAGCAGTCACCAAACTAAAAACACTCTGGATCAAAGTTATGGACTGATTTCTGGGAAATTTTTTTCGTGGAATGAAACAAATGACTTCCCATAAGTTCAAGCCGGATCCTGTGTTTTTAGCGGCATTTATATAAAGGCTATGGGCGATATTGACGATCCCGCATTTTCCACCGAACGGTCTCACAGATCTGACTGGCCATCCCGAGTTTTCTTTTTTACAGGAAACGTCTTCAGTGAGTTAATCTAAGACATGTTCCAGCACACCACTCTTCAGAACCCAAGATTATGAAGAACCATTCAGCAAACCCTAAATCATATTTAGGAAAAAAAATTAAATGTAGGTGTTTTCACATCCTCATCGACACAATTTAGAACTTTCAGAAAGCGGGTTTCCACTCTGCCTGTCAGGGCCAACCCAGGCTCAGAGGGATACAACGTGCTAGCAAAAAGACTGAGATTGATCAAAATTCACACACAGAAACTGAACTTGTGCATTCTGAGTGCAATGGCAATGTGCCTGACCGTTACACCACAGAAGCCAGAATAAATCTGTTCATTGCCCACGGGGAGTTACATACCTGCAACACACGGCCTTGGAAAAAGTAACCATTCAGACAGTTGATGGCGTTCTGAGCTTCTTGGTAGTTGGTCATGGTCACAAATCCATAGCCCTTGCACTGGTTCTTTTCATGGTCCAACATGATGTTCACTTTTTGCACAGTGCCAAACGGTGAGAAGAGCTGCCACAAGGTGCGGTCCGTGGCGTTGAAGCCAATGTTGTACACAAACAAGGTGTACCTGAGGAGACACAATCTCTCAGATATGGCGTTTCCAAGAAACGGAAAATACAAATTAAAGCCAAGCACTAAAATAGTAGCGAAATTGGCAAGACGCGGAAAAATAAAGATTTATCGTATCTTAAATCTTTTCATTATGTACCTGTTTTCAATCCAAAGAATAGTCATGTATAAGAAAAAAAATAGGGACCTGAAAATTTGTTCCCTATGTGCTTGTTTGCTACATATGCATGCTCGACTGTATATATATAAAATGATATGATCTCAGTATCTAAACCATGATATTAGATTTTTTTAAATCTTGGCACTTTTAAACAAAACTTAGAAAGTATAGTGTTGAAACTGTTCTAAGACAACCTCTCGAAGAATGCCCAAAAAATGAATAATAGCCTCAACTTTTACTTTCTATATACATATATATCCAGTAGTTGAAATCCTCAGTATTTCTTTACAAATGACATCAATTCCTCATGTAAAGAGTGAAGCTTGGTAAACAAAATTAGTCTTGTCAGTCTCTTGGCCACCAACTACAGGAGAATTTCTCTGGATTTTCAGTCTAAAAACAGCATAGAGCAAAAGTGCCAAATGAACGATTCCCAATTACCTGAACGCACAGGCCTCAACCCCGCAATATATCAACTTTTGGACATGACATGTCCTACTTTCCCTTTCCTAACTTACTGTAAACTTTACGGAAAGAATTCCCCTTAAATGTGTTCAACCAACAGCATAAAAAGAGAAAGTGTTGGATCTGAATCCACAGGGGAAGAAATCAAGAAGAAAGTCGAGCCAAACCTGGAGATTAGTCGCAGGAAAAGATTTACAGCAAAGTGGAAAGACATGGAAAATGTCAAGAGGCTAACCCAGGAGAGGGAAAAGAGAAAAGTGTTTGTCCATGGCCTATACTTTGATCCATGGTGAGAAAAGTAAGGATGGTGATGTGATGTGATGGTGAAGACATTCATTATAAAACAAAATTCTGACTTACCCGCCCTGCTGAGCTTGAGGCATTCCAGGTCCCTGCCCGTTGAAGTTACCAGCCATTGGGTTGAATCGCTGGAATCTGTTCATCTGGTTCCTCATTGGGCCTGGGGCGGCAAAGTTGGGGATGGGCACATACTGCACTGGACCTTGCTGTTTCAGCTTCTTACTGTTGTCGTCAGCAAATTTGATCATGATAGCCTCTGTGGCACCCTCTGGTACTTTCCCGCTCAGACATTTGATTGCATTCTCTGCCTCGTCCCGTGTGTCGTAGAGAACAAAGCCCACCCTCTTGCTGATGCCCGTCGATAGGTCGACCAAAACGCGAGACTGGATGATCTTCCCGTAAGGCTCAAAGATTTTGTTGAGCTCCGTTTCTTTCCACGCAACTGGCAGATTTCTGATGTAAAGATTCGCTCCTTTGATCTGATCGCCCCCAGGACGAGCCAATGCTACTTTTATCCTCTTATTTTGAAGCTGCAGCCCAGACAGTGTCTCGATGGCACGCTGAGCATCTGTGGGGTGCTGGAAGTCGACAAACCCAAAGCCGTAACTGTAGCCTGTTGACTTGTCGCGCACAATTTTCGAGCTTTTGACAGGACCGACACTGAGGAACATGGACCTGAATTCTTCATCTGTCAGGGTCTGGGGCAAGTAGTTGATGATCAAGTTGGTGCTGCTGGAGTCTGGGGAAAATAAATTATAATAGCTTTGTAAGAACTGTAAAGCCCTAAGTATCACAAGATCAAGAACAGATAGGCAGAGAAATAAAGATAGACGATTGACTGCTGTCCTGCCTGAATTTCATTAAAAAAACACAATGTGTAAGACAAGCGGTTTGGCCACCTGTAACAAGTGTCACCATGTCAGCCATCCTCCAGAACCTATAATATCAAGTATCCATGCTACAAAGGATGGATTGAGGAAATTTATGGAACCCTGAGAAACTGCAACATCTCATTGAAAGAGTAGCTGAATTGACCTTCCATTGAAAAACTGCATCTCCCTTTGAAGCTCAACAGGAACAGAGAATCAAAAAGTTTTAAAAAGTAACAGCTAAAGTATACACTTGCAAATACTGTGGCGCTAGTGGCCTAGTGGTTAAGATACTGCACTCGTAATCGAGAGGTTGCCTGTTCGGGGGTTCGAGCCGCGGGTCCTACGCTATGTCCTTGGGAAAGGCACTTTACACGAATTTTCCTCACTTCACCCAGGTGGAAATGGGTACCCGGCCATAGACAGCAGAAGATCTCGTCGGTACATTGAAAACTTGCATGGGTAGCCTGAAGCCAGAGGTGTGAAAATAGATTGACCAATGCCTGCCGCCCTGATCGTACGGCCAGCCGAGAAAAAGAGTTCCTTGAATCATTGTTACATGATGGCAGTGAGGGGTGGCATTGGTGGGTGGGGCTAAGGGGGGAATCAAAAGAGAGGTCAAACAGCGGTCCTATGAAAGGAAAGCACTGGTGCTAAATATAAGTAAGACTGACGCATGCCATTATCAGACAGGATGATACCATTGAGAGGTGTGAAGTTTTGACCACTGCTTGCCGATCGGATTTATCACCGATCTATCCTTGATCCTACCGGCTGGGCCTTTGAAGCCCCCCACAAACATCCATCTCCCCCTAAATTCCCCAGACGGAAAATGTCTAACACGGAATTTATTTCTGGCTCCCTTGCGATTCCGTCTTACACAGGTTCGACTGTATATTGCAACATCTATGTTTTTGGAAAGGAAAACTAAAAAAGTGTCATATTTATTAAATATAGGCTACTGAATTTCTTTTAAAATCAAAGACACTACGTGACTAAGTTGACTAACAAGCATTTGACCCAGTTTGGGGACTAAAAATCCAGCGTTTGTCAGCTTATGTCTCATAAAAAGATTTTTCACATTGAGACTTGAACAACAATGTAGAGCAGTATTGGATTAAGGAGGCAACACCTTTGCCACTGTACTACAAGATTGCCTTTCTTGTTAATTGTTTACTTTCTCACGTTTAATTCCGGGGGAGGACTTGTTTTCAATGACAACTCAGTGCGCCATCGTCCCGATGCTCGATCAACAGTAGGCACTGTCGCTCCACAACAATAAACAATTTGAAACTAGGCACAGAACGCAAGTAGGAAGCTATGGGCGGACATGCGCAAGCCGCTTTTTCGTCTCAATCCTGGTTCGGCGTTTTCCGCGTGTTTATAAAAAAAAGAATCACAATTTGCGACCGAGAGAGGTTCAGCGGAGGAAGGAGGAAAGAAACGGGAAAAGCTAGGTGAAGCGGAGTTTCCGTTATTTAGTAGAAAAGTGGGAGCTATGCGATATAAAAATGCCTATTCACCAGCTTTTCATTCTTTTAAGAATTACCGATCCTCTTTTTAATACAACAACAACACCCCCCCCTCCCCCCTTCCAAATCACAAGGATCCAAACCAGAGGCATTTTAAATGAGTAGAAAAATAGCAAATAAATAAACTACCAATATTTAGAAAAACACAATGTACACAACAACTAAAAAGTAATATGACAAACAAAAGACAAATTTAAGTTGACAAACTATAACAATCTAACCTTAAAAAAAACCAACTTAAAAGCCACAAAAATTGCAGATCAATGATTTCAACTCGCTTCATTACTGCATGATATTTTTAAAGGAAAGAATATTACATCTTCTTGATCAAATGTTTTAGGGTTTTTTCCCTTCTTTTCAAATACAAACCGCCAAAGGGCACATGCTAAACAATTATAAACAATAATTACACACCAACTTCATCACTAAGAAAAACTGCTGTAATAGATTGACATGATTGTCTATTACAAGCACAAAGCTCATTGAATTCATGGAGGCAGCCATCAAGGGTACACCAGAACTGACTTTATTCAGAAGAGTTACACAACAGACCAGTGGCCAAAGGGGACACAAGCATGATATTTGTTACTACTTAGAAGATTTATGTCCCTCTATTCAGTACGATTATTACACAGATTAATTGTTACTTTATTACAACTACCAATATAGATTCTATGTCAACAAGAGTCACAAAGTAATAATTAAATATCCATGTTACCATTACATAATTAAGTAAGAAGTAAAAAAATTCTTTACCATCAACATCATAGAAATTACCATCATTCTGATTTTCCATGGTGTCCAAATTTGTGCAGATTTGTTCAGAGCTATGCAGCTAATATATGTGGCACCACTTGCTTCAGGGGGCAGAGGCCAAGCCATGACGGCAAAGGGCGATGCAGGAGCAGGAGGGAAAAAAAAATTACAAAAAAAAAATTAAAATCCTCCTGAAGGAAAAAAAGATGGAATTACAATTTATACGTCATGAAAATTCGTCAGGGAGAAATCTTATGTGAAGCCATCAAACAAAGCAGTGTTCACTCGATTCACAATTTAAAACATCGTGAATTATATTGTTGATGACTGAAAAGAAAATGACATTATAATTCTCACCTCTAGACATAATATATATATGTTATTATCTTTACAACTTAAACGAGCCATTTTAGAAAAGACGCATAGACAGTATCAGTGTATTAATAAGAAAGTAACAGCATATGAAAAGGGGAATATTTACACACATCAAAATTAGTATTTCGTCCAATTGCTTATAAAACAAATTACACCAATAGGAAAGAAAACAGTATAGTTGAAGGGAAAAACAAACAAAAACGACTTTTCTATTTGTTCATCCTCATCTAGGAGTAGTCTAGTAGCACTAGATCTAGTAATAGTAATAAAATAATAGTAAGTGTACTTTACACACAAAAAAGATACATATTAACTGTACAAGATAGTTCAAGACAGTTCCAAAGTTATGCCCTACTCTTACATGAAGGGATGCATTTCGATGTTAATAAGCGGAGGAGAACTGAGCAATGAAAAGAGGAGACATGACTGAAGAAGGCAGTCCACAAGACTATTTTAACTGAAGCTGTACACTGCTTGTACGAATCACATTATATCTTTAAAAAAAACAAAAAAAGTATATAAGCAAACCGAAAGCCTTATTTCAAAATAAGTAGTAAGTGCATGCAGCTTTCAATGCACCTTGTTTAGTCAAAATGAAACCGTATCAACAAGAGGAAAAAAGAAACAACCAAAAAAACAATAACAAAAGCAGGGAAATTGTAACATATTCAGACAAATAAGGATTCTTCTTAATTTAACTCCTAATGCTGACAAACAAAAAAATTAAACAATTTCAGACAAAAAAAACTCATTTAAGCTCAAACTTCAACAGTAGTAATAAGTGAAACAGTACAAACGAATACAAGTAAATTACACAGTAGAAATAAAAAATATATAGGGAAATAATAAGGTATTAACCATCATATAGATAAAAAAAATATTTACCCTTCTCTAATCCGAAAGAAAAAAATCAGTAATAATCTATATGAGAAAAAAAAGAAAATGCAAAGTCAATTAATGAGGCATCAAAAACATTAAAGATACTGCACATGAATTTTATGACAGATAGAAATAGAAAGATGGAGAGTAAAATAGCTATATATATATCTATCCAACAAAAAACAATAAACCCTCTGCCCAACTAAGATAAATTTTTCAAATGTGTGACAGCAAAAAGTACCACTCTCCACTTTAAAGACTATTCAATTCAGATGACAAAACATGAAAAACATTCCTAAATATTTGTACTTAGAATGATCAACAGGTAGTCCCACTACTATCATTTTGCCACGTTTTTACTACTGGAGGACAATCTATGCTGTGTGCATGTCAAGCAATGAAAACACCTTAAAATCCTAAATGCTAATACTAATAGACATATCTTAAATTGCAGAATCAGAAGACATTATTGTGGCCAATCGCAAACATCTATTGTAGTGTTGAAAAAGTTTTTTGCAATTCAACTCATTCAAAAGTTAAATTTCAATTGTTTGATGGCCGGGTGCAAAGGTAAAACAGCGGTGCTCTGGCAATTGCTTTTAAGTTCTCTCCATTGTCCTACTGGGAAAACCCAAGAGAATATTCATCACCACAAGCCACAGATGATAAATACTTGATATTTGATTTCTTTCAATGGTCGAATGGAACGACTTCCGTAACGAGCAACCACCCCAACAAACACAATTATCGAAAGAAAATACCTTACCCTCTCACCCCGGGTAAGAGGCCTAGATCTACAACTGCGCTATTCTCACCAAGGGTAAAAACTGGTTAAGAATAGAGGTGGCCTTACGGAAACGTTTCAATCCAGGCACAAGACAAATTTTAAAATCAACATGATGAGTGCATCGCACATGTGTAGGCTAACTTAACACCATTGTCACTGATTACCTCTACGAAATGATCTGATCTTGACCACATTAGGTTAGGCCAAAATTTAATAAGAGTAAAATTATAATTTTTAAGTCTTTCTCTAACAACATTGGGCCTAACCTATAGTTGTCTATAGGCCTACTATACGAGCACAAATCATCTTGAATTTAAAATGGAAATGTGGAGAAAGGGCAAGAGATTTAAACTCAATCAATGGAGACAAGTGCAACCTTTACAAGTAACACTGAAGCCATGCCTCTAAGCTCGGTAAGAGCAGAGGTATAAACCTAATGCGGGGTGCCCATTACGGATGGGATTGGCTGATCGTCCGACTCGATCACCTCAAAAACAAACGTGTTTGTTTTCAGTTTCAGGCGATCGAGTCGGGCAATCGGCCCGATCCAGCCGTAGTGGGCACCCCGTAAAACAGTCTGCCTACCCTACCACTGCCAAACAAAGGAAGTTCAGGCAGGTGCACAAAATCATTGGGCTACACTACTAAGACTAGATCTAGATCTAGCTTACCTGGGCTCACTAACAGGTTAACAGGGTTAAACATTTTTCTAAAACAGCTAAGTCTAGATATCTAGATCTAGATAATCTTAGAGTTCTAATTCTGAGTAGATCTAGAATCCAGATAGGGCCCCCAAAAGCCCAATCCCAAAGTACAGGGAAATTATTATTAATGAATTGGCCTGATTTAGGCTGGCTGATGAACTGATTTGATTCTGAGCCTGATTCTGATTCACCAGTCAGAGGCCAGGAGTAGATTTTCTTGATCTAGAAATCTAGGCCTAGATCTCCCAACATGCCTCTACATCCATATTCTCACACAGTTATACCTTATATATAGATCTAGACCTATCTAGCTACACAAATGACAAGATTTCTTCAAGAGAGACTGGTTGGACATGAAATGGCCCGCCGGTAACAACGTCTCGGGCAAGTCCCGCTCTCAATCTCATCCGAGACACAAGGGAATTTCACCATTTTTGTCACTGGAATTTCAATTAAACTTTAGAAAGAAGATCTATTATTCACTTCCACCTATCTACCGTGAATACTGACTGTGGTGACGAATCTTCGTGCTCAGGGAACGGTAACTTGGAGACAACTACTGTTGGTCAGACAAGACAATAAAATAACTGACCACACGTGCGACGCAGCACCGCCATCTTATTTCCGAACCAAGAGATAGCCATCGCCAATATTTGTAAAATTGTTTTACAACCAAAGAATACATCTAATGCGGTAAATTACAACTACCGAGGACTCTACGTTCATCATTTTAATTAATCATAAGCAAAAATAAATGTACATTACAACAGAAGCAACAGCAGACAACAAATTGACAGCGTAGATCGAACACCAACATCACCTGAATCAATTTGACGGCCAAAGGAAAGACACGCTTGCGCATGCGTAAAAGCCTGACCTCATAATGAGGTCGCTGTGGGCGAGTATAACTCCGTAAGCTGTGGAGGGTACGGAGACCTTAATTAAGCCTTTGAATTCCAAAGGCCTGTTTCGGGTTGTTGAGATCCGTGATGAAAAAAACAAACCAACATTATATTACAGAATAAAAGCCCAAGAGGAAAAACAAAAATACAAAGAAAGAAAGAAATATCATCGCACAGCTCCTCAAGAAAACTTAAGTTTTGAAAAATCACCAACTTCTAGCCTCGAGAGCCTACAACACCAAGCACTCAGGCTATAAAAGATAATATATTATAAAGGAGGAGGAAGGCCACGCAAAAGGTGGATCGAAGGTGTCTAGGAAACCCTAAGAAAACATAACATCACAACTGAAAGAGCTGCGAAACTGGCCTACTGTAGAAAACTGCATCTCCCCTTGACGCAGATGAAAAAGTCAAAAGTCAAAAGTAAGTACCAACCTCTAAAACTAGAATAGTTTATCATCCAGAGCAGGATGGTAAATAAGCATGATGGCAAGCAATCTCAAATTTTGTTTTTCCTCTGAAGCATCCTTTATTGTTATTTCTTTCATCAAAGATAAGTTTACAACGATGTAAGAAAGGATCCTCCAATTAATTGTTCTTAGGCCTAGAAGCAAATGCTGGTGATTGTGACATTCTGCGCAGGTCAGTTATTCGGTTCTACTATCTTCCACCAACGTAACCTCGAGCACTTTCCGTCCACAACTCGCAACTGGCGCTTGGCAAGTATTAGCACGAATTACCGAGGTTTGCTTGAGACAGCTCTCTCATTAGACATGTTGGTACCAGTTTCATTTAACTGTTCACAGGCAAGATTTTATTTTTATAAAGACTCAAATGCGTGTTACAGGCACACAGTGAACAGTGAAGCAATGTACGTGCCACGTTCGCTGTAAGTATAAGATGGGTCAGCGTGTGTGTGTGTGGGGGGGGGGGGGGGGGTAATAAACGTGTAATTAATTCCTTCCCTATGTTGTGCATAGATCTTTGTGTACGGCTTTGTGGACTGCGATACGCCCCTGTTCTCATCAACCTTCATCACCTCCACCCAACCCTACCTCCCACCCCCCACACACACATAATATACACACACCCAAAGATACACATTGACATGATAGAGTACAAACATCCCCCCCCCCCCCACCTTAGGTGTCTCTGTATTGGGCTTTCTTCTTCACCTCAACTCATGATTGTCCAAGTCTTCCAAAGTCAGTCGTTATCATTTTTTTTTCTCCTGTGGTCTCTTTTTTTCTAGGGATTCCAGTTCAGCGGCTGTCTGGGGGCTCCCGTGGCTTTATAGAGGTTAAGGTGTTCGCCTCTCATTCAGTACAGGTCCCGAGTTCGTATCCAGGTAGCGAAGGGAAAAAATTCTTCTCTAAAATTGCCTCCTTTCACCTCCTTTCCTGCTCTCTAGCAATGATCTGTCGTCTGCTTTCGTCTCCCCTTTCTGCCCCACCCCCTCACCTCCCCTGGGCTCCTGACTCTTTCTGCAGCCTTTCTTCTACTGCTACTCCATGGCTCCTTCTTACTGCTGTCTTTCAGCCACAACCCTGATCTTGCAGTAGGAAAGATCTTCACCTAGCCCTCTCGGACACGGGCGAAAAATCTCGGAGGTCCCCTTTGCAAGTAGCGCACGTTAAAAATCCCTTTGTTGTCTAAATCGATAAAAGCTATGGCTTCGGCCGCCACCTGGATCATTTAATCGAATAGAGGTCATAAGTCAACATTTAATAGAATTTGAAAACTTTAACGCACTGAAAGCCAATAACTTTGCTCTCTTGTCTTGCCTTGTTATACTGCCCAAGATGCTATAATATTCATTCATGCGCCGTTATGTGCCTGTGAAAGCGTACATTATGGTCTTTAAAAGACATACATGACTGAACGCAGGGTCGGCAAAAACTGTAGGCCCATTAATTATAGATTAAAGAATTAGATTATCCAATGTCCGTAACTTAGGTAGGCTGACAGTGCTATCCAATTGAGTAACAACACTGCGACGCGTGCGATGCTCTGATCCAAATAAAGCCTATTAAGTTTTGAGCCTCGTTTGGGTTTATAATGGTCTCTTTGCTCTCTCTTTTTGAGCGTTTTTCTGACTGTCTCATGTCTGTCTGTCTGTCTGTCTGTCTGTCTGTCTGTCTGTCTGTCTGTCTGTCTGTCTGTCTGTCTGTCTGTCGCTCTCTCTCTCTCTCCCTCTCTCTCTCTCTCTCTGTCGTAGTCTCCGTTTCGGTCTCTCTCTCTCTCTCTCTCTCTCTCTCTCTCTCTCTCTCTCTCTCTCTCTCTCTCTCTCTCTCTCTCTCTCTCTCTGAGTGTGTGTGTGTGTGTGTGTGTGTGTGTGTGTGTGTGCGTGTCCCTCCCCCCCCTCTCTCTCTCTCTCTCTCTCTCTCTCTCTCTCTCTCTCTCTCTCTCTCTCTATCTATCTATCTATCTATCTATCTATCTATCTGTTATAATCTATCTATCCCTCTCTCATCATCCCTGCGAGCTGAAAGCTGTGTGGCGTTGCTTATGACCACTCTCAATATAGGTCTACTGATTAATCATGTCTATGTTAATCACGTTTTGCTTATTTCAATAACTTATGCCAAAACGACAAGGTAGCAGTAGGTATAAGTAGGTAATTTGATTTGAACCCTTTCATTCTGCAGGATTTCCAGTAGTCTTTGCGCAAGATCAGTTCATTGCTGACCTCATAACAACAGAAGTGGTAACGAATGGAAAAGGCTTTGTTTGTTTTAGTAAGTGTTTTACGCATTTGCAACACAATAAGGTCATTTAAGTGCCGAAGATTAGAAGTGTTACAAGAGGGTAACGAACACACAAAAAAAGAAAGAGGGGAGATAAAGACGACAGATGTTTGATAGGAAAGAAGAGGCAAACCGCACCAGAGCACCTTTATGGCGGCACTGGTGAAATCAAACATGTCATCATCATTGCAGGGGTTGAAAAGTGTGGGTGTGTGTGTGTGTGTGTGTGTGTGTGTGTGTGTGTGTGTGTGTGTGTGTGTTTTATTTGTTTGTTTTTGTAAGTGTTTTACGGCACTCGCAATGCATAAGGTCATGTATGAGCGCGCGGGACACGTTAAACATGTTTAGATGGTAAGACATTTTGAATTTTGCTCGGGTACCGGCCGAAGCCTACTAGCTCTGATCGATTTTAGACCACCAAGCTATTTTTAACGTGCGCAACTTGCACGCGGGACCCCCGAGATGTTTCGCTCTTGTTCGTAAAGGCCAGCAATTATTATACGGTCGTTAAAACGCGCAGCGGGGTAAATTGCGCAGAATAAATATATTAATCTTACCGAGCTTTTCGGACACACACGGGCACGTCCAGCTTGACTAGATCTCTATAATGATAATATAGGTTTTGAGTGCGGCATGTTGTCATAGTTTTGGCTGCTGTCTGCAGAGCCAAATCCTGCGGTTGTCCTTTCTGAGATCTTATCACTTATCGCTCATCAAAGATTCTCTACTACAAGATCTTTGGTACCCCTTCCAGTGAGATTATATAGAATTCGAAGATCCTTGACCAAAATAGAGAATCGTTTCCTTGACCCCCTTCTTTTACGTTTACCTTCCCCTCGGCTCGTAGAGTTTGGTTACAGAGAGCCTGTAGCAGTGTCTGCACGGAGCTTATTAGGGTGGACACTACATTGATACCGATCTAAGACTGAGAGACTGACCGTTACAACGTGAACAGTTAAGTAGAGGTCACCTGGACACTAGACACGTGGGGCGTGGGGGGAGAGGGGGCTGTGATGAGGAACAAGGGAAATAACTGCATAAATATATTCCAGGAATCAAGGGAAGCTACCCATATTACTAACGAAAGCAAGGCCCACATAGGTAGTTATTTTTTGTATCCAAAAAGAATAGATCTACATTTGAGGTAACTAAATTCAAGCCCTTCCGTGGAAGATGAAGGGAGAGAGGGGAGGGGGAAGAGTGAAACGGGATAGATAGATAGATAGCTGAGAGAGAGAGAGAGAGAGAGAGAGAGAAGAGAGAGAGAGAGAGAGCGAGCGAGAGAGAGAGAGAGCGAGAGAGCGAGAGAGAGAGAGAGAGAGAGAGAGAGAGAGAGAGAGAGAGAGAGAGAGAGAGAGAGAGAGAGAGAGGGGGGTCAAGCTTCTTTATGACATCGTAAAAAAAACCCCAACAAAAATTGCTCTCCTAACGATCATTTATCCAAATTCCCTCCTTTCCAACAGCGTGCGTGATCACATCGATCACTACTATCGTGTGAGTGGTCGCGAGGACAGCTCATCTGCAGAGGTTACTTTAGAATTCTATTTATAAGTATAAGCAGGTCGTTGGCCTAACCAAGGGTCACACAAAATCGGTCTGCAAGTTATATCCGGTGACCAGTAGAGGATCGGTTCGGTTCGTTTTCTGGCGGTTTTGGTCAACACTCGTAAAATAGACCACTGCCCTAACCCAACGTATTAAAAATTTATGTTATTATGGTCTCTTCCCAAACCGATCACCCGACGAGCGACCATGAAAACAATACGCATTTGTTGTACAAGGTCATCATCGGTTTCGTCGGTTTTGCCCCTCCCGTAGAGAACACAGCTAGATCTACCCCAAACCGAATAAACCGAACCGAATTGATGGTGCCAATTGTCACTTCCAAAGCTGGCCCGCGAGGGTCCCGAGGTCAGTACTTGTCTGCCCCCCACTGCCATATTATGCCCCTATCACACGTAGTGAAAGTGAGGGGGAAAAAAACAGATTTGGCAGATATGTAGACTAGTTAATGTGGCGTACTCAGGAATTGCATGGTCACCAAAATAATTAAATGATACAATTTTATCATACGCCTACTGTGCAACTGAAACATACCTTTACCAACTTTTCTCTGTATTTCTAATAAATGCATTCAGTACCGTCTATGATAATATTGTACAGGACCAAAATCCGACCAGCTCTTGGCATTTTCTCAATTCTCCAAACCTGAGTTTAAAAAAAAGCTACAACAAACAAATGAAAAAAGCTCAAACAAAAAACAAACCAAACTCATGATGATACCTGATCTAGATCTAGACCACCAATCCAGAAACCCAGAGTTTAAAAATATTTAACAAATTATGACTCCTGATCTAAACCACCGTACGTTCAGCGCCACCGGCCACCGGCCCCCGACACACACACACACACACACACACACACACACACAACATACACACACACACTCACACACACAGACACAAACACAAGCACAAACACAACATACACCCACACACACTCACACACACACACACACATACACACACACACACACACACACACACACACACACACACACTCACACAAACATTGAAACTCCCCTTGAATATTTTCCCCAAAAGCAGAAGTGCGTTATGTATACTTGTACAGCGATACATTTCCTTATAATTATATAGTAGGCTATAATTAACGCGTTACAAGCTGTAACTCAAAAACACACACGTTACCATCATCGAACTCAGTGTATTGTTGGTTGAAATATACACACATAGTGGGATACTGACAACTGCATGATTAAAAAGACAAAACGAAATAGACTGAAGTGGACACTTTTATTTACCCAATTAGAAGTTGTGTCATGTAGAGTAGCCTTCTTTTTAACTTCTTTTGCTTTTTCAAGATACGTGATAAGCATCGTTGTATTTTATAATGTATAATGTGCATGCACACACACACACACACACACACACACACACAAATATAATATATATATATATATATATATATATATATATATATGTATATATATATGAAAAACAGACGCTGGGAATTACGTCAGCGTACACATGCTTTAACTAACAAGCTGTATTCAATTATAATTGTACAGGCCTAACTGTGGTATTAATTATACAAACACTTGTTAACCACATAATGCATCAAGTTTCAATGATCAATAAAACGAAACAAAAATTAGGCTACGAGTTTGTGTGACAGTTCTCGTGAACTTTGCCCAGATAGTCCAGATTCAGCGTCTATTACAGTGTGGTTTTAAAAACCAGCAAAACTAAGAACTCGCTCTCTCAGCCCCCAGTTAGTCAAATAAACTTTCATGTCGTCAATGCAAGGGAACAAAAACCCTTAAAATATTTGTTTACTTTGAGTATCACCTTAGACATTGAAGATTTAAAGACAATTGAAACAGCTTCACCTTAAGGGTAAAAAAAAAAAAATCATATTTAGAATTGATAGATCTAATACAAACCGGGGTTATATTATTACAAAACCGAACGAAAGTACGAACGAATAGAAGGCCACCAAGTTACATCAACATAGAGAGAAAAAGGACGAAATTCACAAGAATAATGGCTTCATTAGTGAGAAAGGTAAGCAGCAGAACATTGACGACCCCTTTTCACCGCTGTCGGTTTACTGAGCATATTAAGTCTTTCACTTAAGAGAGAGAGAGAATATGTGCGTTGACTCTTCTGGCTCGTCTACTAACGTACGTGAACGTAGGCCGCTCCGGTTCGACTGTTCACGCACGAACGAACAAGAAGACGAAGCCGATGAGGGAAACACCGCACTGACCACCGCGGCGATAAGACCAAGAGCGGATGATAATAATACTACTGTACTACTAGATCTAGATCTAGATCTAGATAATAAGTCTATCAAGTTTATGAATGGAATGAAAATGAGAAATAAATATCTTCATGGCATCACAATATGCCTGGTTTTGTTTTGTGTATCGAGTTCCGGGTGATCTTATACATAAGTTTAGGGCTACTTTAGTTTAGGGCCACCTCTATTCTCACCCGGGATGAGAATAGTGCAGGCTAGTCTTTTGGCTATTCTCACCCGGTGCGCGTTCACTGTTATAGCCTAGATCTAGGCCAACAAATTTTGCGTTCACCCTAAACCACAGAATTCTACACTGTGATAACAGAAAAATTGTAGAATTCTGTGCCGTGAACAAACGTTCCATTACAACTGTAGCCTACTAAAAGCGTACAATTTTGTATGTGGGCAGTGGAGAGAGAGAGAGAGAGAAAGAGACAGAGAGAGGAGTAGCGTGAGAACTTCCGGTAAAAACAAAATGGCGACCCGCGTAGTTCGGCTCGATTCGAAAAGTTAAATAGCCGTAGCATCTTTGTAGACAACCAAATTAATTTACTTTTGTGTTTTAACATCATTTTTTAACTTTATTTTGGTCAATTTGAACGTCCACACCGATAGACAGTATTCAGAAAGAGACAGAGAGAGAGAGAGAGAGGGGAGGAGTAGATCTTGCGAGAACTTCCGGGCAAAACAAAATGGCGACCCGCGTAGTTCGGCTCGATTCGAACAGTGAAATAGCCATAGCATCTTTGAAGACGATCAAATTAGCTTACTTTTGTGCTATAACGTAATTTTTTCTTGGCTTTTATCAATTTGATCATCCACACCGATAGACAGTATTCCAAAACGCTGTGTCTACGTACACGGCTACCGTGTACCTAGCCTCGGAGTCTACGTACACGGTAACCGTGTACGTAGCCACTGGGTCTACGTACACGGTAACCGGGCACGTAAGCTAGCCTCAGTGTCTACGTACACGGTAACCGTGTACGTAGCCACTGGGTCTACGTACACGGTAACCCGGCACGTAAGCTAGCCTCGGTGTCTACGTACACGGTAACCGTGTACATAGCCTCGGGGTCTACGTACACGGTAACCGGGTGTGTAGTCTCAATGTCACACACACAGGGTAACCGGGTATTAAATTTCGTTGTGTGTGTGTGGGGGGGGGGGGCCTTGAGCTAGTGCTTTGCTCTCTTCATGACGTTGACCTTTTTCATTTTTCACCGTGTAGTTCCAATATCACACACACGGTACCCGGGCGCGTAGCGTCAGGGTCTACGTACACGGTAACCGGGTGTGTAGTCTCAATGTCACATACACGGTAACCGGGCGCGTAGCCGCAATATCTACGTACACGGTAACCGTGTACGTAGACACTCCGATTCCAAAATGAGGAAAAGCAGGTCTTGTTTCGCACCGGGTGAGAATAGCCTACGCTGGCAAGTCTCACCCGGGGTGAGAGGTAGATCGTTTTTCTATTCTCACCCCGGATGAGAATAGCCACTTCCTTAGTTTAGCTCGTTAAATGCTTGATTGAGTATTTTCCAATTGAGCACTTCTGAAACGAGCGACCACTATCAGATCTGGATCAAAATTCTATGTCATCAAGATTATACTCAATGGCTTCCAAAATCATGATGGAAGACTGAAAACCACTGTTATACGATCTGTTCATGACAAAATTACGGTAGTTTGCACATTTTTACGCCCAGTTCAAAGTTTTGAAGGTCTAAGTCGGGGATTAGTAGACTTTGGGAATTTAACGTGCTAAAGTATAAGATCACCGAGTTCCGGAACTGTTGTTCCGACCTTTTAGATCTAATAAAAAATTATTTTAATTTGGATTCTTATCTTAGGTCTAACTTATAAATCTAACTAGATTCTAGATCTAGATCTAGATATATCTAGATGTATTACAAAGCCTCAAATAAGGAAGTGGCTATTCTCATCCGGGGTGAGAATAGAAAAACGATCTACCTCTCACCCCGGGTGAGACTTGCCAGCGTAGGCTATTCTCACCCGGTGCGAAACAAGACCTGCTTTTCCTCATTTTGGAATGCTGTCTATCGGTATGGATGATCAAATTGATAAAAGCCAAGAAAAAATTACGTTATAGCACAAAAGTAAGCTAATTTGATCGTCTTCAAAGATGCTATGGCTATTTCACTGTTCGAATCGAGCCGAACTACGCGGGTCGCCATTTTGTTTTGCCCGGAAGTTCTCGCAAGATCTACTCCTCCCCTCTCTCTCTCTCTCTCTCTCTCTGTCTCTTTCTGAATACTGTCTATCGGTGTGGACGATCAAATTGACCAAAACAAAGTTAAAAAATGATGTTAAAACACAAAAGTAAATTAATTTGGTTGTCTATAAAGATGCTACGGCTATTTTTAACTTTTCGAATAGAGCCGAACTACGCGGGTCGCCATTTTGTTTTGACCGGAAGTTCTCGCTCTACTCCTCTCTCTCTCTTTCTCTCTCTCTCTCTCCACTGCCCACAGACAAAATTGTACGCTTTTAGTAGGCTACAGTTGTAATGGGAACGTTTGTTCACGGCACAGAATTCTACAATTTTTCTGTTATGTACACAGTGTAGAATTCTGTGGTTTAGGGTGAACGCAAAATTTGTTGGCCTAGATCTAGGCTATAACGGTGAACGCGCACCGGGTGAGAATAGCCAAAAGACTCGCCTGCACTATTCTCACCCCGGGTGAGAATAGAGGTGGCCTCAAATAAACATGAAATAAATCTAGATATTTTGTCTGCTTTGTTCTCAGCTTTCATGGCGTATCAACCCAATTGTCCAGTCCTTTCGGGCTCTCAGCACAAAGCCAGGAACAGCGACATCAGGAGAAGCAAACGAACAGAATTTCGGAGGAATTAATTTTCGTAAGTGGAGAATTATTAGAATTAAGTGGTCTCATAAATGTAAGAAGTGAATGAGTGGGACAAAATAATTATGGTGGTGTCAATTGCCACAGAGTGACGCAGTGATAATTGACGCCAGCGTCAATTGCCACCAAGTAAATTGGAGCTCTTTTGTGTTTGTGAGTAGATCTAGCCTGTATGTGCTCGGTGTTCTGCGTTCGTGAACTTCCGACACACGCCTCTCTCTTTGCCCCTGTGTTGTGTGGGGGCGGGGGTCTCTCTCTCTCTCCCTAACCTAACCCCTGTCCCCCGGATTTATGTTCCCCGATATATATATATACCGTATTTCTGCTTGATTTTGTGTGCGTTTGTGGCCTACTTCTAGAATCTCCTGTGTTGGTTCTACTCCGAAGCATAGGCTAGCCTACATCTCATTCAAAACACGCCAAGTTGAAGTCGGAAGCTCTAGATAATCGTCGAATGAAATTAGAAAAAACAAATTGACCCACTTAGACGTAAGGAGCTCGAAAGGATAGCCAAGAAACAAGACTTTCATTTTACTGTAAACAGAATCTTTCAAATGAGCTTGAATTTATGCAAAATGATATTCCCTGATAAAAATAAGGTTATTGATAGTTTTGAATACCATCGTGCAGGTAAAAAAGAAGAATTTGAGTGCAAAACATTCGGAAATTGACCTACCGGTATACTATTTTCCTTTTGAACCTCAGAATATGTGTAACTACTTGTTTTTTATGACTTATCAACTTATGAAAGGGGGTTAGATCTAGATCTAACTATCCATGTGTTCGTAACTCATTATGAATAGAAAGCTATAAGATAGAGCGTTGTTTTCAGACTTGACACTGCGTCACTTAGTGGCAGTAGAAATAAATGGTCTGAATTCCAGTCATTTTGTCACACTGATGCAGTCAAGACGTCACAGCCATCTCCTCACGTCCCAAATCCTCAAGGTTGAATGGAGACAGTCATTTCATAGCAGGGGGGGATTTGGCACCGTCTCTTTTACTTTATTTCATTGTAATTCTTTATCTGATTTGATGCTTGGCTTGACTTTTTTTTTGGGGGGGGGGGTGTGAATCATCGTGCCTACCTGTTCAGCTACATTGTTCATAAATATTTCTTGACGATATTAAAATCTATCGAGTCAGATCAACAAAGTTCTGTTAAAAATAAATTAGCTAATAGAAATGTACGTACTGCAATTTTGCTAAAAGCTAGACCCTTACTTTCAAGCAAAGCCTTACTAATTCTCTACCACACATTGTTTTTTGCCTTATTTAAACTATTGCTCAGCAATAGAACAGTTTGGAGGAAGATTTAATTTACATTAATAATTTAAAATCAGGCCTCTATATATATAACTTCCAAAACAACCCACAAAAAGCTTAAGGCTGGTCCTCGAAAACTCTACTAGCACAAAACAATTTTGGAGAGATATATTATAAGCGAAGTCATTTCGTCTCACATAACTGGGGTGTGACGAGATGACCGTGTGACGAAAAGACTGGTTGCCAGAAGTAATGCCTTTTGAGGAGCTCACAAGGACATGTTACAGAATTAAAAGTTTTCTGTTCAACATTTCATTTTGTAGTTTATGACTGGATTAAGTTCGATAAAATTATGACCAACCAAAGTCAAAGTAGAAAGCTGCCACGCATTTAAGTTGCAGGGTGAGATCTTATTAATGTTTGCACACAGAATGGGATAGAGCTTCATGGACTTCCAAGTTAAATTTAATGAAGCAAAACAGAGATCAGATGTCAGTTTGACAAGAGTGTATAAAACCCGACCTGATCCAAACTCATGCTTGGAAACCTCTTTAGGTCCATAAATTTGTGATGTAAGCTTAATTTAACTCATTCGCTACCGGCTCAGCTAAGTGACTTCACTACTCCAAGCCACCACCGACGGCTCGAGAACTGACCTATAATTCTAGTTTGAATTTTATTCTTATCCACTTATCCATGTTTAATTAAAGGTTATGATATAACATTGACTTCCGGATCAAGCGTTTCCACCGAAAATCGGAAGTTTTGATTCAGTTTTGAAACTCGATTTCGAAGTTTATGCGACTTTGTTTTATCGCGATGCCCAAATTATAGCCCAGACATCAGTCTTAGTACTTTTACACAACAAAATGTATAATTATTTTGCTTACAAAAGAAATGTAGCTCTTCTTTAGAATATTGATACTATTGGATTCAAATTGCAATTGCTCTGCTATTGAGAAATCAATATTTTTCAGTGCAAGATCTAGATCTAAATTGTCAAAATATTTTTTTCTCCCTAAAATCACTATTTTTTGGGTGACATTACACCAAAAGTATCAATCACGACGTGTAGATTTATTCCAAATGCCATTTTGAATAATTCCATGCAAAATACAAGTGTTTTTTCTGTTTGTGAATGCATCTTGTTCTTTTTCAAGACACAAAATTTTTTTTTTTTTTCAATATCGGATGTTATGATCCAAATGTACAAATTTTGTGGAATGTATGTAAATAACTGCAAATTTTTCACTATTTTCCAGTTCTATATTCATTTATGGTTATTTTGGTGTATCATTTGACTAGGTGCAAACATATTTTTTGAGTTTCCCCACAGAAGATTAATTTTTCTTTTCAAATTTTATCCGCATCCAAGCGAAATTGTGTTGCATAATCACCTCTTACAGGAACCAAAGTTCAAAAATACACAAACAAACATTACTGATGTATTGTACTTATCCTATTGAACATCTTGGTGCACAATATGTTGATATTTATTAGAATTTGTGGTATCAGAGACCTTTGAACTGTGCACTAGTCATCATGTCATTTCGCCCTCCTGAAAAAAAGTCGTCCTCAAGCCAAAAATAATATATAGCGAATGAGTTAATGTGGATGGCCATAAGCTTATTTTCCCACCTTTGAAGAGATAATTGTCGCATGATATTATCTGTGTATACTAAAGTGTCTCTTTTTCTGCCATTGTTTCAAAGGCTGTTGCATTTGTTTATTTCAGAGTAAGCTTTAGTTTAAGATTTAGATTTTGCTAATTGCTGCAACTGTTCTTTTCCAGAATTATCCCCAGAACAAAATGAATTCAAAGAAACAGCCCGAAAATTTGCCAGAGAAGAAATTATTCCTAAGGCAGCAGAGTATGACAGAACGGGAGAGGTACAAGCTTTTTGTTTTTGTGTTGGGGACCTTGTTTCTGCAGGATTTAAAGTTATGAAGAGTACTCAGATCTGTCAGATTGTCTGTAAAAAATTGTATTCTTCTATGCTTTTACTTTGTCTTGTCAGTAAGGAATTGTTTGCAGCCTTTTGATTTTGAATCTGAAATTGAAAGCTACTATCATGAAGGAGTTTTGGTCTTTCAGTATGTTTCTTTAGTTTTGGATGTTTATATTAATGTCTCTCTGATGAGACTCTTCAGTGTATCAGTTTTTAAAGAATTTTTCAGTCTTTTTTTCCCCCAAAGGAACTGGAAAATTAAATTTCTCATATTTTGCAAAACTGCTTCACAGTTATTTATATATTTTTTCAACACCAAATGGAGAAAAAAAATGTCAGTAACATAGAAAAGGATTTTAATTTTTTCAAATTTTATGGTTGAGTTGCCATTCTTGATGAACCCAGATAATTTAAAATACTAGAAAAGCCAGTGTGCGGGAGGCCAATGTGTCTATACTTTGACCCAGGGGTCACCAAAACTTTTTTCAAGGTGGGCCGGATAACTGAGGGAATTCTGAGCTTGGATCGGTGACTTGTTTCGCTCAGGACAGTACACTGGATACATTAAATAACACAACCAACTTCTTGATTTATCAGAAAGAATATAATGAAACACTGAAGCAGCTGATGATAGGAAATAATATGCCAATGAAAGATTTGTCACATTAAAGCCAAGTGAGTGATGCATTAGCTAGAAGGTGTGAAGTCTATAGAAGGATGCTTAATTTGCTTAATAGTAGAGGTCAATATAATGCTTGAAATATTAAAGTGATCAAGTCCCGTGCATAATGCAAACACACATCTCTTAGATTTATTTTTCCCGCACAGTGGCCTGGCAACAGGCCAGATGAACCGACCCATGTCCTGCGGGTCGGAGTTCGGTGACCCCTGCTTTGACCCATAACGTTTCTCTTCAGTGTAAAAGTAGAGTCTATGACTTTTGACAACAGGGATTGTCTGGGTCTTATTCAGAGATGGTTTTTTTCTGTTTTCGTTTCCGTTTTCTTCACTAGTAGAGCAGTTATCATTCTAAGCATTTGTTTTTGATTTATCACTGTACAATTTGTGTCTGTGTGTCTATTAGCTTTTTATTTTTGTTGGCAAACTATATAACTTCTTAAATTTTCAGGTATTTTCTCCAATACCCAGTGGCATCCCTGCTGATCATAACAGCAGTGTGATTTTATAAAATTGTAAAGTGTATAGAACTTGCTGTTGAGTGGGAATTTGCGCTATACAATGCTACTATTTTTACTTCTTCCTTTTATTATTATTGTTATTATTGTTATTATGTTTGTTGTAAAACTATTATTAATACTATTATTATTTTTGCTGTTGTTGTTGTTATCATCATCTTCATCATTCTTCTTTTTCTTCTTCTTCTCCTCCTCCTCCTCCTCCTCCTCCTGCTCCCCCCCTCCTCCTGCTCCTCCTTTTATGTGTGTATATATTGATTGTGGTCACACTGTGCTGAATGAAGATTGCTGTGACAATGTCGTATGTTTCAGTACCCATGGGAGGTCATCAAGAAGGCGTGGGCTCTTGGGCTGATGAACTCTCACATTCCTGAGGACTGCGGTACATTTTGTTGTGCCTTTGTATTGTTTATTGCTACCTCTATAAAGGTTCATTTGCAGCGTATTTATACTTAAAATAGAAACGTCACAGTGAAAATTTTTGAGGGGGAACCAAGCGAAAGCTTATGTCATGTTGGTCCTTTGTTGTTTTTACGATTTGAATTTTGTTTTTTGGCTCTTTTTTCATTTATGTGAGCCGTTTATTCTTATTTCACGGAAGTGTTTAAAGTTTGTCTGGGGATATTTGTAATTCAAAGTTAAATTTTGATTCTACTATTAATTTCGAAAAAAAGAAAAGCAACTATTTATTTCCAAGTTTTGTGTTTTTATCCAACTGTAAATGTTGACCATTATTGATATTGTCTTTTTCCTTCCTCCGCCTGATATATAGATACAATAGGCCAAACCAATTCAGTGGGTGGTCGGCAGGTGCTCTTGTGTGGTTTGCTCCTATTTTCCTATCCAACATCTATCATCCTTATCTCCCCTCCTTTTTTGTATTAGTTACTCTCTTGTAACACCTCTAATCTTCGGCACATATGCAACCTATTGCGTTGCAAGTGCCGCAAAGCTCTTTCTAAAACTTAAAAAAAAGAAATTCAGTTGTTTCATTTTTGTTTTTTTGTTTTGTTTCTGTTCAGGTGGCCTTGACCTGGGCATCCTGGAGTGCTGCACCATCACGGAGGAGCTGGCCTATGGCTGCACGGGTATTCAAACAGCCATCGAGGCTAACTCTCTCGGGGTGAGACGACATATAATACTGATGATACTGCACAGCGCTGGGGGATCTACACTGACTTTGATAAATCAGAAAAATAGTGATACTGATAATAATAATGATGATAATAATTTAATCTTACTAATATGATGATGATAATAATAATATTATAATACAAATTATAATAATGGTTATAATACAAGCTCTGCAGCATGCTGTATGTGTTTCACATCTATTACCTCCAAGTAGACCCCAGAATGCAAAAATGGACAAAGGCGGAAGTGGCAAATTGTCTTTTGTACACATGGTTGTCTTGGTCAGGTGGCCATTAGAGCATGTTTGACTACAATAGTCTTTGCAGAAATGTCGGAGAGCAGCTCTTTAAAGCATTTGTTGGACATTTGTGGTTGTATAGTGCATTTTTAATGATGTTGTTGTTTTAAGTCCCAGTGCAGCAGTCATCAACGAGTAAGATAAAACAAAATGAGGAAAGTCATGATATGTGAGGCAGGCTGACAAAATGAGTAACTTATCGCAATCCACAAATGGAGGTATTGGCCAAAAATGGACACTAGGGTCAAATTTGTAGATTTTCTATTGATGCCTCATTCTTTAAGTATAACATGCCTTTTATTATTACATACTTATAAATTGTAAAAACTTAACCTATATGTGTTATGTTTTTATTTTCCTAGGGTTTGTATCCGTGTAGTAACTAATTTGGTCAGCACGCTTCACATATAGCAAGTTTGAGTTTAAAGACAAGTTAAGGTAGAAATGACGCTCCTCGATTTGATGTTTTCACAATAATTAAGCAATTAATTCTGGGCACAAAATAAATATATTCTTTGAAAATGTGAATGATGATTTGAAACACTTACAGGTGGAATGTGTCGTGATTACTTATCTTTATATTTCTATTATTCTCTTTCCGCCTCATCCTCAGCAAATGCCTGTGATCATTGCGGGAAATGAGGAGCAGAAGAAAAAATACCTGGGTCGGATGACGGAAGAACCACTTATGTGTGTGAGTGCTTAGATTTATCAAGTGACCATGCCAGTTTCTTAGAGGGTCTGGGAATTCAAGGAAATCACATTATTTCAAATTGTTAGTTTTTTGTGCGATCCTGTGTTTTGTTAATGATGCCAGAATATTTGTTTTTGTTAACGTAAAAAAGGTAGTTCCAATAAGCCCATGAGATCAAATTGCTTTCCCTGAATACATTTGTTGCTGTTAATTATAATGATGAGATGTACAATATTTTAAAAGTTTTTTAAAGGTTGACAAAAATTTGGTACAGATTTGTGTTTTATGAGTTTGTACACTACTGAAATATATATTATAATTATTTATTTGGATATGTATTTGCTTTGTAAGGTTGTTAGTACGTAACCTCTACTTAGCCTTCTAAGACTTATTTTAACGAAACCCTGGTGATCTACTTACTTTCTTACTTCATCTGTCCTCTTGTACCTCTAGGGCGTCGAGGGGAGAAAGAGCTTCCTGTCTATGGCAAGTTTGATGGCCTGGTTTGTGTGGGATATTGTATGTTCTCAGGGTATCCTTCATACCCTGGATCCAGGGCTTTCTTGGTCTTCCTCTTGCTTTGTACCCTGATACTTTGGTACTACCTAGTGGTTTCCACGTTAGATATACGTACGCAGGCAAAGCAGACCGTTGCAGGGTTGATCTTTGCTTCATCCTGTGTCCACCTGTTTCCCCCTGGCTGGTAGGCGTACTGCGTGACGGAGCCTGTGGCTGGGTCGGACGTGGCGGGGATCAAAACGCGCGTGGAGAAGAAAGGCGACGAGTACATCCTGAACGGCTCCAAGATGTGGATCACCAACGGCTCGGTGGCCGACTGGTACTTTGTTCTGGCCCGCAGCAGCACCGACCCCAAGCTGCCGGCGGGGAAAGCCTTCACGGGCTTCATTCTGGACGCCAACACCCCTGGTGTCATCATGGGCCGGAAGGTGAGAAGTTTGTATTTGTGAATGTTTTACACACGCACGCACACACACGCATGCCGGCACGCACGCACACACACGCATGCAGGCAGGCACGCACACACACACACACTCACACACACACACGCACGCTCACACACACACACACACACACTCATACAGACCCATACACACACACACACACACACACACACACACACACACACACACACACACACACACACATAGCCTTCATCTTGGACGCCAACACCCCTGGTGGTATTGTGGGCCTAAAGCTTCTTCATTTGTTTTTCTTTTGATGAACACCCCCCCCCCCCCCCCCCCCCAATTCTATCTTGAAGCGAAGTTGAGATTTCTGCAACTGAAGGAGATGGTGGTCACCTAGTGTCAGAGGTAAAATTAGCGAGATAATGGCCGCCAAAGTTTGGTGGCTTCCCAAGCTTGAGAGTCCTTGGAAACTGCCAATTTTTTTTTTTTTGGGGTACTTTTCATCAAAGTTTTTCCGTAAAATCCACACAGAAACATGTTTTTAAATGGACCGAAAATGGGTTGAGAAAAAAACTCAACCAAAATTTAAGTAAAATTACCCAACTTACGGGGAAAATGTTAGTTTCTTCAATGTCACCACAATGCCAATCATATTATATGTTGTTATTTTCCCAGGAGCTGAACATGGGCCAGAAGTGTTCGGATACAAGAGGAATCACATTTGAAGATGTGCGCATCCCTAAAGAGGTTGGTCATCACGTTGTCCCTGTCCGTTTGCAAGAAATGTGTCTTAAAGCAAAGATAATAATAGATAATAGATAGCATTTGTATAGTGCAAATCTCCGCTCAACAGCAGGCTCTATGCGCTACACAAACTATACTATTACCCCAGCAGACCTGAGAGCATTCTGAAACAACCTCAACTTCCTGGGAAGCATACAGTGCAAGCGGCCATTTATAGGCGCTAAAACACTAACATACTGACAAGATCTTTCACTGTCGGGTACCCATTCCCACCTGGGTGAAGTGAGGAAAATTCGTGTAAAGTGCCTTTTCCAAGGACACAACGTCGGGCCTGCTGCTCGAACCCCCGACCCCGCAACCTCACGATTACGAGTCCGGTGGCCTAACCAATAGGCCACCGACGCCACGATAAAATGAGATAATGCTTAATTATCCCAGAGGGAAATTTTCCTTGGCTGTATAGGACCGTAAAAACACATGCAAGTATACATAAAAAAATTTTAATTAAAAATTTCTCTTTAAATTTCAATATGAAATTAAAACAGAAGTCTATGGTGTTGCGGTTGGGTCCATAACACTGACATACAGAAGACCTAGGTTTGACTCGCGTGTGGAGAGAATTTTTCTTTAGTATTTTCGTTTTTCTGCTGGGACTTTGTATCCTTCTCCGCCCAGGTTGGCTCTGACTAGCAGGGTTGAAGCCCGCCATCTAATTGGTCACTTTTAAGGACTAGCGGGCTAACCCAGATTTCAGGGTTTTCAGGAAATCTTGACCTGTACCAAAAGTAGGCATTGCCCTACCTATAGGAGACGTTTGGTTTCATTGGTGTATATATTTGTTTGGTTATAGAGAAAACTCTCCTTGCATTTTAAAGAATTTTGATACGGATCTCAAAATTTTCTCAGGATAGCCCCCTTGTGCTTAAAAACGATCAATTAATCTAAGGTGTGGCAATGGGGACACAAAAATGTCATTTGAAAAAACTCAAAAAAGCAAAACAAATGAAAAATACTTTGTTCGAATTAAAGTTGTAGACTGGGTTTGTAGTATCTATTAAAAGACTGGTGGGAGTTCAGCCCTGGGGATTGTGAGCTTAGTCAGGGAAGGCCATGGAGAATACCTTACGAAGGAAGATGAACTTTACTTTCATTTCTTTTCCCTGATCCAGTGGCCATCTGAGTTGTGGCCCTTTGGCCTGTCAATATGGCAAAGAATTTACAGGTTTTTATCAATTGTGTTTTGTCGTGTTTTGTCGCTGTAGAGAGTGTTCAGAAGGGGAGCTTGGGGTTCTGATTATGCTGTTACATACAAGGTACATGATTTATTCTAAACCAATGATTTTTTCCTTTTTTTTTTTTTCTTCTTCTTCCCCTCCGCTCAATCCTGTTTAGCTGTTTAATAGTAAGTTTGTATCTTCTCTTTTTTCAGAATTTACTTGGAGCTGAAGGAATTGGATTCAAAATTGCCATGGGAGCCTTTGACAAGACCAGGCCACCGGTATGTACATCTTTGTGTGGGTGGAGTTCATTATGTGGGACTGTCTCTTATATTGAAGGTTGTCATTGTTAATGTTTCCCATTCTTGTTGCCTTTGAAAGAAAATGATTATACTGAATTATGTACTAATAATAAATGGCGTTCAACAGCAAGCTTTATGTGGTGACTTCTACAATCTGTATTATTATCCCGACAGATCTGATAGCATTCCAAAAGAATATCAACTTCCTGGGAAGCATAGAGTGCATTTAAGTGCTATATACCAACTTTGAGTTTCTAATAATATAAAGAAAACTTTCCAGGCTTAACGTGAAGTGCTGTCAGGAGTGCAGTGAAGGTCTAACATGTTTTATATTTTCAGTTCAGTGAACAAGAAATCTCTCTTTTTGTCTCCTTTTTTTCTCTGCTCAGGCTTAAAAATTTTTTGTTTTGTTTGTGGGTTGGTTCCAGTTTTCTTGTCATGCTAGCTCGGGTTAAAAAATTGGTTTTGTACATGAAGTATCCTGAACAATGCTGGTACGTTCAAAGAATTGGGTCGCTTGTCATGAGTTTTAAAGTAGTATTTGGGATCTTATTCTTTCTATTAGCAAGCAGCTGTGAGGTACTATTTTTTCTCCCGCAGCATCAAACACTTTTTTGTTTTAACATGTTCAAAACTGAGGATTTGCACCAATATGTACCCTTTCTCTTATTTTCGTGAGGAAAGTGTGTCAGAGCTGGTGTCTGCAGTCAGTTCACCATCATCATCTCCATCTACTTCTGTCCTGGGCTATAGTCTCCACTTTTGTCCAGCTATATGGTATCCCATCTGTTTTAGGTCTGAAATCTCCCAAGTGTACATAGGCTTTCCTCTCTCTCTCTTTCCTTGTGGGTTCCGTTTTAGTACCGTGTATTGAGCACAAAAGATTGTGATCGCAGAAAGGTTGCTGTGTGTACAGGAAGCCGAACAAATGGGCGGCCCTTGTTGGTGAAGAATGTGAATGAAAGGGAAGGGTCGTCAAACAAATAATTAGATACTGCTTCAGTGTCTTTGGTGTAAAGTCCAGTAGGTGGGTGGTTGGCGGATGCTCTGGTGTGGTTTGCGCCTTCTTTCCTATTAAACATCTATCGTCCTGATCTCTCCTCTGTCTTTTTTTGTGTTTGTTGCTCTCTTGTAACACCTCTAATCTTCAGCACTTATATGACCTTATTGTGTTGCAAGTTCTGTAAAACTCTTACTAAAACTTTAAAAAGTCCAGTATTGTTGGTGTCATCTCAGTTGTGTGCTACACCACTGGGTGACCTTCATTGGTTGATAATTTGCAGTGGATTTTTCCCATGCACTTGTTCTGAATTGATAGTAGAAGAGGTCACAAAATGGCGGTAACTGGCTGATAAAACTGCCTGCTTTCTGGACAAACAATGTTTTTTTTGGATTGTTTTGTGCAAATCTCAAAGTCATGCAGTGTGTACTTTGGCCTTGAGATTTTTTGGGCCAGTTTTGGATGGGTGGGTTGAACAATGACTGTCAAGCTAGCTATCAGCCTTCCTTTTTAAATGTGAACGGGACTTTGAGCTTGTGAACACTCCTTGTCGGACATGAAGAGAGATCTCGTGACAGACGTGAAGAGAGATGTCTAGATCCTGGTATCACCCACCACCCTTTCCTGTCTAGGCTTGGAATTATCTCGGCTCGTCATGTTTCAAAAACAAAATTCACAGCGTGTCTTGGCTCTTCTTCTGTTTTTAAATAACCACACTGCTCTTTTCTTATTTACATCTTTGATTAATTTGACTTGGTTGATTGGGGGTGAAAACACCTCCATTAAAATGAGTAAGTTTAACTTTTGTGGTTGGCGGTACTGCTGATTGGTTCTGTTGTTTTTGTCTTGGTAAATAGCTTGACACTGGAAAAAGGGACAATGCCAGAATCTTTTCAGTGTTGGTGATCATGCTGTGGACTTTTTTGAAAGTCATGATGTTGTTTATCACCTTGAGCAGGAGAAAAATGAAATAGAAGCAATAGGTCAAAGGTAAAAAACTATGTGTAACATGTTTTATTTTTTTTCTGCACTGGTTAATATTTTTTTGGAAGTTACATTCATTTGATTTTTATCTGAGTCTGACTTTTTAAATCATTTTAGTGGAATGCAGTGATGATATTTGATAGAATTTTGTTCCTGGTTTCCAGTCCATCATTGTCTCTTTTAGGATTGTTGTGCAAGCAGAATATGAGTTTGCAAATGTAAACAGGGGACATTTTAGATTTTTTTTGGTTACTTTTCTCACTTGGTGGACAGTTGGATGGTGTCAGTGGAAGGTTCCTACTTCTGTCCTTTCCTTCAGTTTTTTTTTTCTGTTTGCCTGTCTTGCCTTTTCTTTTGCCCTGTTTGGCCATTGTTGTGTGGATGTACTTCTGTCTGTCAGGCGTGCTGAGAAAATAAGCTAATTCTTGGAGTTAAGTACAATGAAACTAGTTGTCTCGAATTTTAGGTTGAGTTTTTACAATTTGTTAGTATGCATTGATAAAGGACATTTTTAACGGGAAGAAAGTACCATCAATTGAAAATGTTCAAAGTGAACCTCAGTGTTGCTTTTTGGCTGATATCTCCTTCTGCGGATTGAGAGGAGTATTGCGGGTGATTGGTGGGTGCTCTGGTGTGGTTTGCTTCTTTCCTGTCAAACATCTATCGTCTTTATCTCCCCTCCTTCTTGTTTGTGTTTGTTACTCTCTTGTAACACCTCTAATCTTCGGCATTGATAATAAGACCTTATTGTGTTACAAGTGCTGTAAAACTCTTACTAAAACTTTACTAAAACAAACACGTTCCTGTGTGTGCTTCCCCCCAGGTTGCGGCGGGCGCTGTAGGTTTGGCCAAGCGGGCGCTGGATGAGGCCACAAAGTATTCCCTGGAGAGGAAGACCATGGGCAAACCCATCTGTGAGGTGGGGGCTCCTGCTGCAGCAGTGGGAATGATAATAATTGAAATAATGATAATGGTGGTAGTAGTAATGATAATATAAATAAAATTAACAGTGATAATGTTAATAATAATAATAACAACAATTATAATAATTATAGTTGAAGTAGTAATAGTAGTAGTAATAATAATGATAATTACAACAACAACAATAATAATAATAATAATAATGATAATAAGAATAAAAATATTAATAATAATAGTAATAATAATAATAAATTGTAACTGTACAGCGCAAATTCCCACTCAACAGGAAGCCGACATTGACAAATTGGATTCAAATTAGATGCCAAGTTGTTTAACTTTTGTTCATCATACACTAGTTTTCATGAAATAGAACATGAGAATCATCTGCCTTTTGTGACAAAATAAATGTGTCACGATGTGGTGGAATTAAGCGCTCGTCAATTTTTGGATATATCCGGTTATCAGTGTCATCTGAAAGCCTGTTCATTTGCCTTCCTTTTGGTGAAAAAAATATCCATCTGTGTTGAATAGAAGTCTAAATATTTTCGATTGAAAGAGGTCAGGGGTGCCTGGTTTCAGAGGCGAAATTAGCGAGAAAACGCCCGTCAAAGTTTGGTAACCTCCATAGCCTAAGAGTCATTGGAAACGGAAAATTTATTTTCTGTGCCTGTACTCAATGTTTTTCAGTAAAATCCGCACAAAAATGTGTTTTTAAATGGACATAAAAGGTGTTGAGCCAAAAAAAGAAAATTGCCCATCGTAATTTTAAAAAATGCTGATTTCTTTGATTTAATTATTTTGACGAGCGCCTGATTTCACCACGCTGCCTCACTAATGAACAGTTTAAATAAAGCCTCCGTCCCCTCCCGTCCCCAGCACCAAGCTGTGGCCTTCATGCTGGCTGACATGGCCATCGGGGTGGAGACGGCGCGCCTCATCATGCAACGGTCAGCCTGGGAGGTGGACCAAGGTCGTCGCAACACCTACTATGCGTCCATCGCCAAGGCCTTCGCCGCAGACATTGCCAACAAGTGCGCCACAGACGCTGTGCAGGTATTTGTGCCTTTGTTGTCTCGGAGTATGTTTTCATTTTTTCCAGCAAGTTATTTCGAAGGGTGTAGAACAGCCGTTCTCTTTTTCTGCCTCTTTCACCATGGTATTGCGTAAAGATGGAAAGAGAGGCAGCGGCAGACAGAGGGAAAAGATACTGGACAAGTTGACAACATGGCTGGGAGCAGCAAGAACCTCAGACAGCATTGCTGCAACGCAAGACAGAGTGAAGTGGAGATCCATGATCGCCCACACCAGTCGGCAAGGCACCGGATGATGATGATTGCGTAAAGGCTGCCAAGACTTTCTCTGTTTCTTTCACCCCGGTATTGCTTATAGGCTGCCAAGACTCTTTCCCTGCTTCTTTCACCCCGGTATTGCGTAATGACTGCCAAGACTCTTTCTCTGCTTCTTTCACCCTGGTATTGCGTATAGTATAGGCTGCCAAGACTCTTTTTCTGCTTCTTTCACCCTGGTATTGCATATACGCTTCCAAGACTCTTTCTCTGCCGTTTACTTACTTGTCTTACTTGTCCTGGGATACAACATCATTGCACACCGGACAGGTCCATAAGTGCTCAGTTCCTCTCAGCACCAAAGCCTGCTAGGTATCCATTGTTCAAGTGGCTGTTTGATTATGGCGATGTCTTTCCTGTCCAGATAATAGTTCCTTTCTTCCTTCTCCCTTCTCTATCCCCATTTCCCACATCCTGATGATTGCGTGGTGTTCTGCTGTCTCCCTGTCTTCCTCATCCCGCAACTTGTCCTTCAGGGTCTTCAACACTTCTCCTGTGTCAAATTTCACCTCACCATCGACCACGGCACTACCTGCAATCCTATCAGCCTCCTCATTGCCCTTCACTCCAGAGTGCCCAGGAAGAATATCCACGTGATGGCTTTGTTGCTTCTTTCACCCCGGTATGATGTATAGGCCGCCATGAAGAACTGTCCGCCTGTCTCTTGTTTAACCTTCTCCACGTCCCGCTACCCGTCTGAGATTGTTATGGACTTGGGGTGTCTGTGGACTGCCTGCCCACCCTGAGAAGAGGCCATCCATGTTGAAGATGTACGAGGAGTTTTCATGAGACTGGAAAGACGTAACTGCCCTGTGACCGTGTAGTTACAGTACGGTATCTGAGGTCTGCCTCCAGAAACAGCACTATACCATCTCCGCACAGTTTTTGACACTCATCCAAACAAAACACAGAGTATAGTGATCTTCACTGACTCACTATCAGTCTTGCAAGCAATAGAAAATGATCAGTGTGACTATGCATATGAGACAGTGGAACATCACCTTTTCCACTGTACAGTCCTGAATGACATCAGAGCTACACTTCTCCCTCCGAGACCTAACTTCGACAACACACTCTACGGAACATTACAGCAACTGCAGCAAACCTGCACTTATCACTACATGGCATTGGACAGAAGGGCGAGAGCCCAGATGTTGCTGGATCGATAACAACAACAACAACAACAACAACATCTGCCTCCAGATCTCGTTCCCAGGTGGATCACAGCCTTACTCCCCTTTTTCCTCCCCTTGCGATTCCATTGTGAACATAATGGTTACCTGGGAGATAATTTTTTAAACTTGTGAATGACTCTTCCATCGGCATTTCTCTTTCTCTTTGATTTAAATCATTCAGTTACTAGATGGACCCCCTTTCAATGAAAGGAATGATCGGTGCATTAACATCAACTTAAAGTCATTGGCCTACTATTTTTACACTCCACTGGAATGGAGCAATAAATCTTGAGAGAAAAGTGACTCACGTGTTTCCAAGTTGCCAAATATATAATAGATGTATAGATTGATTCTCTATTCCGCTTTTGTGGTTGTACACTCCAGAATTTCAAAGGCGTGGCTTAAATGCGCACGGCCAGTGAATGGAAACCTCACTTTTTTACAATGGCGTCTTAGAAGATGGAATTTCTCAAGATTAGAACTCTGTGTGGACGAAACAGAGCATTTTAGAAAAAACTGGGAAAGCAGTTTGCGAGAATTTTAAAAAGTTAGGTCCTAGCCACATGGATGCTGTGGGCGCCTGCAAAGTTTCAAAGGTGTGGGTTAGGTAATAAGGGAGGAGTTTGTGCACAAAGCCTCCCATGTCAACTTTTATATATACAGTAGTCTCCGCCTAAGATCTCGGTGCTCGGGAGCAAGGAAAAGTGGGATCTTAGGCGAACCGGGATCTTCACCGACGAACCCAGGGAAGAATCTATGGTGACCCATGTTAAGGCTTACAATCGGTAAAATGGTCTCCCTCCACTCTAAAATGAACTGACGTGACCGCTTGGTGGGTTTATGACGTATGGCGAGCAAAGAGTGGTTAACCTTGATGACCTATCACAGGGCATAGTGGGATGAGGCGTGCCATTTTCACTTATTATCCTATCATGAGGCTCAAGATCTACGCTTATCAAGTTGCCCCTCCCCTCCCACTTACCTGTCGAAAATTTATAGCTTTCCATCTCCCCCAACCGCCTTTGTCGTTACACACCATTACGTTGTGAACACACCAATTAAAATTCAGTCTGTCTCACAAATTCGGGAGTAGAAACAACTTCTCCAATGGTCAGGGAAGAGTTCACGGTTCAATGTGATCCCGCCTGGAGCGAACGTGTAGGCCCTACCCACTCAGCGAGTGATGTAAGTTTAGGGGGATAGCTCAGGTGTGAGTGAGATGTTCGGGGAAAACAAACGTGTCGGTCACTTCACACCCCGGTGTGATCCCGTCTGGGGCAAACATTGTATCGCTTCATCGAGTTTTACGTGTATATGATCACATTCACGATAGTAGCTTATCTTTGATGCGACGGACAGTTTATTGATCTCAAATTTTCACTCTTGGTTGATCGGCTGTCCCGCCCGGGGTTTTTTTCCGCAAATTATGATCTGAAATGCGGGATCTTAGCCGAATGTAGACCTTCAAAGTGAATCAGAGCGGGATCTTAGGGGTGACTTTTGTAAAGTAAAAATTCTGTTTTCTTAAATCAGTGGGATCTTAAGCGAACCGGGATCGTAAGCGGTGGGATCTTAGGCGGAGACTACTGTATATAGATATCCATTTACTTGTTGTCCAGATTTTTTTCTCAAAAAAGCATTTGAAAATCATAACTAAGTCCTGTTTGATTTGTGTTATTCAGTTATATCCATTATTTATTGTCCAGATTTTTGGTGGTAACGGCTTCAACTCGGACTACCCAGTGGAGAAGCTGATGAGAGACGCCAAGATCTACCAGGTACTGGGGCTGTGATAAGTTACTCCGGTGCTCGCCAACTTAGCTCTTTATCTCCGAGGGGGTGAACCCACTATGCTGGGGCCCTCTTTTGGTACGAAATAAAAAAGTGAAGTATACGTCACTAAATTGGTCATTAAACCAAAACAAGTGAACCTGTTTTGATACTTCTTCTCAAATGAATGAACTCCCAGTAAAAGAGACCTGATTGCTGAAAAGTATGTTGACATTGAATTCGTCGTAAAGGAATGTACCTGAGCGGCTACTTGCGGTTACCCGGTACAACGGTTCCGACTGTGAGCCGATGCCAGCAGCTTGCCAGAGATAAGGAGTTAACTCATGTTAGAAGCTGTGAGGATCATGCGACTGATTGGTTAAAAGTCTTGTCTGAGACCAAGGCTGCTCTTGTAAAAATTCATGAGCCTTTTTGTTTTTTTAAAAACAATAAACAGATACGAAGTCCATCTTCAAATGTCGTGTGGATCTTTGTCATCACTTTATCAATCTTGGAGTTTTGTTTGATAAAAAGATACAAGATCTGTCTTTAAATATCACATGGTCTTTCTGGGAATTTTATTTGGTAAACTGATAAGAAATCTATGATCTTTGCCATCACTCGATCGATGTGGGAGTTTGTTCGATAAACAGATTAAAAATCCGTCTTCAACTATCACATGATCTTTCAGGGAGTTTTTGTATTTTGTTACTCTCTTGTAACACCGCTAATTTTTGGCACTTATATGACCTTAGTGTGTTGCAGGTACCTTAAAACTCTTACTTAAACTTAAAAAAAGACATTTTAAATAATCTTTGCCTTTACTCTATCAATCTGGGAGTTCTGTTTGATAAACTGATAAAAAGATCTGTCTTCAAATGTCACACAATCTTTCTGGGCGTTTTCTTTGATTATACTGGTAAGAAATCTGATCTTCATATGTCCATATGTCACATGATATTAACCTCTACTCTTAATCTGGGGGATAAACCAATAAAACTGCTGTCTTGGAATGTCATGTGACCTTTTCCTTTCCTCTCTCCAGATTTACGAGGGGACTGCCCAGATCCAGCGGCTGATTGTGTCGAGAGAGCTGCTCACTGCGGCCAAGGGCTCGTGGTAGAGGAAGAGTTACACAGAGCCTCACAGCTGCACAGTGATATCTCTGCGTTGTGTGCTTGGACTGAACATGGGTAGTGAGAAAAGGGGGTGCCATTTTTGTCAGAAAATGTGTTGTTCTTGAACTTGAAAAAAGTTTTGAGATTTGTTTTTTGGCTTTTTTTGCTTTTAGTGAATATATCTTGTTTGCTTTAGATTCATGACTGATGTCATGATTTTGTATGGATTTTTTTCTTTTTTTCTGGCAAGATAGTTTAAATCATATAGACCCAGTTAATTTCTGTGATGTTTACACTTCATTTCTTTGAGAATCTTTGTCAAATTTACACAGCTTCCCCTATAGTTGCTGCTCCCTTTGTACACTTTTTTGGTTCTTGTCTGTTTTTTTAAGTTGCCTCTGTTGACACCCCATGTCACCCTGGTAACACATTTGTTTGTATATTTGGTTGTTAGCACGCTGGTTTGTTTGTTCTGCTTGTTTTTTTTCAAATTGTTTTTGTTTAAAAAAACCACAACAAAATTATGAAGTGTTGTATGCATAGTTTTTTTTATTTGGTTCCTTTGTGTGGTGAAGAAGTAAGTGCTTTGAATGTCTTAAGACTTACTTGTGGCACTGTGTGGGTCCAATTGGAGGTATTATGATGAAGGTATAGGCTCTTATAGGGCATTTGCAGGGCTGGACTCTGTGCTTCAGATGTTTGCAAAATTTGATGACTGTGAAGAAAATGAAGGAAACGAAAGTGTTGGAATTATCATGCTGTCTGTGAAAGTACTTTGAAAGTCTTTCCCTGTCATGAATGTATATGTAAAACTATGCAAAAATGTTTGAGATCATGATGATTTGGATGCTGCAAGTTTATTAGAACTTGTCACCTGTTTCTTGTTGTTCCTTTAGATCTTTTGGCATAATACCTGTTCTCAGGTGCTGGATGGTTGGTGGCTGCTCTGGTGGGGTTTGCTCCTTCTCTCCTATCGAACATCGTGGAAGTACATTGTGTTACTATGTGTGGATTTCTTGACGCTCAACTTTCAGTGGAGATTGCTTCACGCCATAATACTTTCTCGGGGGTGCTTGTCACTCTCTCAAAGGTTACTTGGTGGAATAGGCAGTTGTTTTTATTTATAGGCAAAGACTTTCGTTTTATCATATCTTCGCCTTAGAACTATTTAGTCCAAAGTGCCTCTTTACTTTGGTACACTTTGGATGAAATAGCTCTGAGGTGACGATATGTATATATATATTTCCTCATGATGTACGTATCTGCCATCCGGTACGAAAAAAACGTTTGATATGTTTTGAAGGGTTTATGAGCTCATTGAGATTATTTGATAACAGATTGTTTTTGGCTGTATGACAACTTTGGTTAACTATTATTTGATACTCTACTTATTTTGTCTTTTCTTTTTAGTGGAATAATAATAGAAATGATAAACAGATTTTTTAAAGAAACATATATATACATATATATAGCATGATCAAAGTTTTTTGGGATTGTTGTTGCTTGGAGTTGTGCACATAAAGATGCTCCTTTTCAAGCTGCGAGAGAATTCAAGTTTTATTTAATTGTAATCATGGTATTATCCTCCAAGTATATCATATCTTTCTTTATATCCGTTTTTCTCTTGAGACTGAGACCTTTGTACATAATTGTGTGAATGTGATCATGATGATGCATGTTCGCCGAGTCATCAGAAGCTCTGTCCAGTGTGAACCGATGAATTGTGATTGTGAAGTTTTTGTGATGCTGTGCTATTACTCCGTTTGACCGCAGGTAATAAACTTGTAAGGAAAAAATCTTTTGTGGTTCATGTCGTTTTTGAAAGACCAAACAGTGCTAGTGTAAGTGTGGGTGGTTGGCGGATGCTCTGGAGTGGTTTGCTCCTTCTTTCGCATCAAATATGTATTGTCCTTATCTTCCTTCCTTCTTTTTTGAGCATGTTGCTCTCTTGTAACACCTCTAGTCTTTGGCATTTCTATGACCTAATTGTGTTACAAGTGCCATAAAACCCTTATTAAAAGTAAAACGGAATAGGGCAAGAGGGAAAAGTGAGTGGTTGGAGGGTGCCTCTGGGAGGAAATTGAAAGTGTCCGTTTGTACAGGTGATTGTCTTATTCTTAAATAAGAGGCCATAAGAGCCAGTTGGACTGTCAACGGTGAGATCTCCAGTCCGTGCAGATAAAGTTTGTGGAGAAACTTATTTCTCCGATAACACTGAAAAGCAGGTCGATACAAACAGGGCTCTTTACCAGGGCTGCCCACCCACCAGCCTAAGTTTTTTTGTAATCAACAGATAGAAAATGAGTAAACTGGCTTTAAAATTTGTAATACAGCACTAGAAAATCTTGTTCAATGGGGTGTCAAGGACAGGGGTTGTTGTAGTCCAGTATCGTATATATATCGCGACCGTAATGCTTTCTTGTCGTATCTCCATTTTATTGAACAGTGAAAATGTAAAGCACTGGGGACGAGATGTATGTAACAAACACGGGCGTGATGATACTAAAGGACAGAAAGTTTCTAACACCTTGTTAATCTAATTAATGTTTGCTTTACTCCTGGCTTTGGCACTTCTGAAGTCTAATGTTTTTCTAAGGACAAAGTGGTACAGAGTGACTATAAGGGCTCAATGCACAGAGGGAGTTCACACTGCTAATGTTAGACAGCTGCACGTGACATAGTGACATATAGACTGTCCGGGCATAGTAGTTTTTTTTCTGTTTTTCTCCCCTTATACACCAGGAAAGTGGGTGGTTGGCGGGTGCTTTGGTGTGGTTTGCTTCTTCTTTCCTATCAAACATCTATCGTCCTTACCTCCCCTTCTTTTTTATGTTTGTTACTCTCTTGTAAACCTCTAATCTTCTGGCGCTCATATGACCTTATGCAGTTGTGAGCGCCGTAAAAAACCTCTACTAAAACACCAGGAAATTTGGGGTTGGGATAGCCAAAATGTTTTGAAAATCGGAATCGGGGAGGTATTACGACCATATTTTTGTAAAAGTGAAAAAAAATCGTAACAATTTTGCAGAACTCGTATTGGTGGACAGCCCTGCTTTATTTATGTCCTGGCCATTTTATTTAAACATTTTTTAATGCCCCGAATCAACACAAGTAGGGCCTACCCTGTATTGATAAGTTTATATCATTTTTAAAGTGCCTTCTCCTGATTTAGATCATTTTGAAGGTGGGTTTCAGCCATGCCTGAGGGGGCCAATCCAGGGTGAGAGGGATATACAACATCCCAGCAGAAAGCTTCAGATAATCAAAATTCTCCTTACTCCGGAATCAAACTCTGGTCTCCTGTGTGGGACAGTAAAAAGCCTGAGGGTCCGCTACACCACAGACACCAGTTTGCCATTTCAAATCAGTTTTCTAGCTTTATAACAGCCACTGCGGCATAGCCCCACAAAAACAAAGGTAAGGATAAAATAAACACATGACAGTTGCAAATATACTTGAAGTCAAATTAAAACATTTTAATGTTCTCATCAATTACATGATTTATTCCATCACAATTTAAAAAAGAGACACAAAAAAACAGTGAAATGTCAAAACATTTTTAATGCTTTTATAAAATATATTAATTATATTTCACAAAAACTAAAAAAAAACAGACATAGAAAACAATGCAATGCCAAGGTGTCATGACTCAATAAAATTTCCACAGATTCCCAGGCTAACCACGTACATGTACAAGAATCTTAGAAGCATTAGCTTGTATTGTGAGAAACACTAAACAACGCGCAAAACTTTTTTAAAAAAGGGACTGAACTCATGGAGGTTATGTGGAGTATGTGGTCATGTGAGCTCTGATCAAAATACAAATTCACTGCAAGCTGATCAAAAGGAGGACAAATATAGTTGGTACTTTGTTGACTCGGATGTTCCCCGGTTGTCTGTAAAAAGTTACAGTTTTATAACGCCCTCTAGATGGAGAGTAAAATCAAGCATTATGTCGCAGTTCCAAAAAAAAGAACAAAACAAAACAAAAGAACAAATGAAAAAAAAAAAAAAAAAAAGAACGAAGAATTCCGTTAGACCCTGCTTTTTGGGATGAGTATAAAACAATTCGAGTGACTCATTTTTCTCTCAAAAGGGTTGATTAGCTTGCTGCTAGTTTGCCTTTTTTTTTCTGAGGTGACATATCATAACTTTTGTTCCTCTCTCTTTTAGGAAAAAGATTTAAGTTGGGAGAGGATGAAGGAACATCTTGTGCTGAGAATGTTGTGACAAATGGATAACATTTAATAATAATAATGATAATAAAAAATGACATTTATATAGCGCACAACCCCGATTAAAGCACACAGGCTCTGAGCGCTTTACAATACAGTACAACGTACAACAGTAACATTAAACGTGTTCTGACTAAAAAGAAAATCGAAATATACATCTTATTAATTCATATTATTTACCAGCACATCAATACTATCAACAAGATAATAATTATAATAATAATAATAATGATAATAATAATATAATAATAAATAATAATAAACAGCATTTGTATAGTACAAATGGGTTCTACAATCTTTATACGGTACCGTTCATAGTAGAGTGATGGACAGAATAAGTGGCACCGACGCGAAGCTCACAGAGCCTGTCTATTGAGCACGGACACCTGCTACATATTAAAAAAGCAATTTTTCTTATTCTAGTTATTTTCGCCTTGTCCCTTCATCATACAGCAGAGAAGTATATATAGTACATTGTCACTTATTCACCCCACCTTAAACATCTGATCATCTGTTCCAAACATTACAAACATAATAATTACCCTTGTCTGGTGAACTCAAAGTCATTCAAAACAATATGTGGTTGAAACAATAGTTGCAAAGCGCATAGAGCATAGATGTGTGCTTTATTTGCTATATTAGTGAAATTCTCAATAATCGCTATATATAATTATAACGTACACTATTACTATTATGTACACATATAAACATACAGTTGCTGAAGTAGCACCACAATCATACTGTAATAAAACGTCAAAATCGTTTAGCACGCACACAAGAACCGAGAAGGACATAGACAAGTGAACTCTTCTGAAGCCATAGGAGACAAAATAACCGTTACAAAACATAAAATGATAGCAGACAGAGGCAAAGAAACAATCAAAAAATTAAATCTTACTATCTCAAACAAAAGCAAAAAAAAGCACCATAAATATTGATGGAAATTGTCTACAAACTAAGCCTATCCAGTTCTTTTAACTGGATGATGTAATTTTTTACGGCAACTGGCTCACGGCTGCTATATCGACACCATTTCATGTGTCATGTTCCTTGGCTTTTACACTCTTGGATACCACAGAAATCGAACCTGAGTGTTAATCCTTGAGTTTGGTTTTAGTTTAAAAAGTTTTAATGCACTTGTGTGTATGCACCTGACCTTTGTAACACCACTGCCATTGTAAACGACCAAGACAAATTTCTCCCTGGGAGATGAATAAAAATAGTCATTGTCAAATAGGTCATATAAGAGCCATAGTTTAGGTATCTAAGTACTAAAAAAACCAACACACACAAAAAAACTTAAATGAATCATAAAAAAATAACTAAGGCAAAACTAGAAGGCACAGGCATCTAAAATTTGTACATGGATGGGTGATTCACTTAAGTTAATTTTTTACATTAAAAAATTAAGTTAACCAAATCGCCCATACATGGGCACAATATTGCAAACAAACATTTTTAAGCACACAAATGTTCTTTCACATTTAGGCTTCTCTCATTCTATGCACCTATAATGGGTATCAGCTTATGAACCATCAATAAAGTAGTAAGACGACAACAGCAAAAGCATAAACAATTCCTACTTTCTGGAATATTCTCAGTATCTTTTTGCAATGGGAACGCATAAACATTTAAAAAATACTCCAGCAAACAAAACATAACATTTTTCAAACCAACAAGTCTTTTGATTACACTACAATGGTAGTGTTGAACTGTACTGTGAGTTTACAATATCACTCCTCCTTACTCAAAATGCAAAAAATTTGATTAAAATACCTGGCGCCCATTAGCAAGATCGGTTCGATTCGGTTCGGCTTCGTTCGGCCGTAAAGGCTAGCCAGATTTTCCTCCATGGAGGGAGAAAAGCTACCATTGTGGCACAAACCAAATGAAACCAAGGATGACCTTAAAAAAGAAACCCGTTTGTTTCCAAGACTGCTAGTCAGGTGATCGGTTTGAGGCAGAGGTCTATTTATGGCGCGTGCTGAAGTCACGAGAAACCAAACCGAACCTCTAATGAGCACCGTATGTAAAATGGCAGCATCTGAATACGTCAGATATATACCATATATTCCACTTTTATTGATCTTTGTAGGAAGATTTGGTTTACAATAACATTCATACATAGATAAACAGATTAATACATACAATAATTATATCAATGTTCTTTAATCCACAATGTCACATCGATATAGACTGTAAACATGCTATTGCTGGTTGCCACAGTGCAGCGTCCTGTTTTTTTAGCTAGAGTTATCGTGTCTTGGTCAAGGACACACAAAGGTGACCAGCCACCTAAACATTGTGTCAACGATAGACACTTCTTGTGCGTGGATATCTGAAGATTTGTCTCAGCGATAACAAATGCTAATACTACAAAACTTATATCAGGCGATTGTTTTAGTAAGTGTTTTACGGCACTTGCAACACAATAAGGTCATATAAGTGCCGAAGATAAGAGGTGTTACAAGAGAGTAACAACCACAAAAAAGAAGGAGGGGAGATAAAGACGATAGACGTTTGATAGGAAAGAAGAAGTAAACTACACCAGAGCACCCGCCAACCGCCCACTATCAGGCAATACAAATAAATACGACGTACAGAAGAGTAGAAAGTCATGGAATAATGTCAAGAAACTAGCTCGAGATAAAAGGGAAAGTGGAAAATATTTGTCGGCAACCTATGTTATATCCTGACTCAGGATGAGAAAGGCAAAGACGATGATGCACACAAATAAACAAAATGTCCACATATAAAATCTATCTTTCTGCAACACGTGCATATCATACAAATGAACCGTATCAATTCTACATCTGCAGCGTAGCTAAGATCTATTGGCAGTTTTGGAATGGTCATAGACTCCATAATAGTGAGATTGTGACTCCATAAAAGTGAGAGTGTGGGGGCGGGGTGCTGAGGTATGATGTGGCAAGAGTTTAATGCCCCTTTATTTGTCATTTAGGATAACGTAATAGCCCTCCAAACATAACACCCCTCCACAATAACACCAAACATAACTCCCTCCACAATAACACCAAACATAACATCCCTCCATAATAACACAAAACATAACATCCCTCCACAATAACACCAAACATAACATCCCTCCACAATAACACCAAACATAACATCCCTCCACAATAACACCAAACATAACATCCCTCCACAATAACACCAAACATAACATCTCTCCACAATAACACCAAACATAACATCTCTCCACAATAACACCAAACATAATGTAAATTTTCAGTTTCCAAGGACTTCTCAAGCTATGGAAATTACCAAACTTCTGTGGCAATTTCTCATTACTTCTACTTCTGAAACTAGACGACCCTGACCTCCTTCAGTTGATATTAATAACCCCATATGCCCCAAAATTGCCGAGCGCCTGATTCCATCACGTCGTGACACACATCAAGTGAGTGTTGAGTCTGGGGAGAGGAGAAGTCATTAAAAAATCTCTCTCTGTCTAAATATATTTGACATTGAAAATGTGTACATGAACAAATACTTGAAAACTTTCTGTAAAGTGATCACCTAAAGGGCCATTCCGTGATAATGAAACTATATAGTCACCACGCACGTAACACAGGCATGATGACCTGGCGAAAAGAAAAGCTAAACAGCGATAGAGAGAGCCATTTTATTTGTTTGTTTGGGTTGGGTTTTTTTAGTCAGAGGAAGGTAGCCTCTCACACAAATGCACATAGACAAAAAAAAAAAAGAGAAAGAGAGAAAGAAAAAAACAAACAAGAAAGAAAGAAAGATAAAAAGAAAGGAACAACAAACAAACAAACAAACAAGAAAGAAATGGTTCCATCAAGGCCTAGCGTTTCCTTCAGCATGTCTTCACCTCTATATCACTGCGGATTCATTGTCAATGGGATGGCCCTGAAAGTGAAAGGAATTTAAAGTAGAACAAAACAAGGCCATCACACAAACCGACCTTTTTTTTTTTAGTTTAAGTTTTAAGTAAGAGTTTTACAGCACTTTTAACACAATAAGGTCATGGAAGTGCTGAAGATTACAGGTGTTACAAAAGAGTAACAACCATCCGCATCTGACTCATTTGTAAAAAATATATACACAAGTAGAAACAAAAAGTATAGAAGTGTGACAAAATGTGCCATTCCAATAAACACGGAAACATATTTCCAAGTTGTGCGTCAAGAAAAAAAAAGTAAGTATAATGCAATATTGTAATATATATATATATTATAATAATATATATATATGTATACAATAATACATATATATATATTGATCTATATATATATGTATACAATAATATATATATAATAATATATATATAAGTAAAACAAAGTTTCTCATGGTTAGCAATGCCTAAGACAATATAACAATGTCCACATGGCACAACTCTATAAAAGTAGATGCAAATAAAAAATAAAACAACGGATGAAGGGCTCCAGTACAAAGTCCACTATACAAAACTTTGATTCTCGAAACATGAAAAAAAAAGCTGTGGGGAAATATGATTCCAATGAACAGCTCAGTTTGAGCAAAACAAATATTTTGGATTCATGGGAAGTAAAAAGTTGAAGACGAGTTTTAAGATGAGAAAAATAAATTCATCTGGTGCACCTCAGAGCCAGAATACTGAGAAGGGAAAACCATTGTGGGTTTCATTGACATGGAGCCCTTCGGGCATATTAAAATAAAACATGTGTACGCGTGTCTCTGTATGTGTTTGTGTGTGCATAAGTGTGTCTGGGTAATAATAGTACATAAAAGTTTAAGGTATCCACAGGCTCAGATAGACGCACATTTTGCACACTTAAGTAAATTCTTCTGAGGAACGTTATGTGGTACAAATTGGCTGGAACAGATCTAACTTCGTTTCCATAGCATGAATCAAAACGGAAAGTTCAGAATCCCCCCCCCCCCTGAACACAAGCCATTTACTGGTTTACCTTTGTAAAAGAAATAGATATGAGATCTCTTTCTAAAGAAACAATATCGTCAAAGCGCACTTACAAATTAGCGCTCAAATTCACATGATCATGATAAACATAGACTGCAGATATATATAACATAATTCCATATATTGGCTACTCAGTGTAAGACACTGCCATACGCCAGGTTGAACAGTGATGCATGATGGGACCCTACAGTTAACAGCAGCTATGTATTCATCATACTTCAGTTGGCACCCAACCACCTTGTCCGGTGACGTTGTATTCTGAATAACCAGCTGTGACTCATAATGAAGTTTGTCCCTTCTCTGTACTTCAAAACCATTCCACCTTGAGCGCTACAACTGTCGGATGTCGTAGTAGAAATAGGCAATTGTCATGTCAGAGCTAACAGTTGTTGGTTGTGATCTTACAATTTTGACTTGAGTTATGACGTGTCAAAAATATGTGTGCTTACATTCCTTGTTCAATACTACTAATACTAGTCAACAATGATTAATAAGTTATGTATAAAAGCTTTCTGCTTATCCGTGAATCCGAAGTATCTTTGGTACGGGTAACAATGCTGTCTAGAAGAGCTCACACACAACTACAGAATTAATTATGGTTGTCATTCTCTTATCATTTGTTCAATATGATTCATAATCCTGCACATATATTATATATACTATATAGTCGAACCTGCTATAATGGCCACCTGTAAAAGACAATCACCTGTATAAGACAATCACCTGTATAAGACAGCCACATGTATAAGACAATCACCTGTATAAGACAGCCACATGTATAAGACAGCCACATGTATAAGACAATCACCTGCACAAACAGCCACTTCCCAGTTCCCCACTTGCGTACATTTCACACTACGACAATGACACTGTGTAAGACAGCCACCTGTCTAAGACAGACATTTTTCTCCTCAACGATGGGTGGCCATCTGTCTTAGGCAGCTTCTACTGTAGTATATAATAAAGAAAGTGTGTACATATATATAGTAAACTACACTTAAAACATTAAGGGATACAACTTAAATCTGCAGCATTTCAGATTAACAGATAGAACAATTTCTCACACAAAAAAGATTACCACTCTGTTATTCTCAAAGCTGCTATCTGCTGTTAAGTTTTGAGGTTTTTAGATAACTTGGCGGCACCCTTGCTCTCCTACATAAAGCATGGTAAACGTCTTCAAAATCAATCGTACTTGATTAAGAATCACAACCGCTTCTATTAATGCCTGCGTTATTCTTTCCAACAATGACAACAAGTATTAAAAGACAGTGACATGGCAAACAATACATTAACACAGTTTTGTTTTGTTAACAAGAGAATAAAACATTAACTCTTACAGCCCCAGAAGCATATATATTTCTGGCACGAATTCTCCTTCCACCACACCCAGCTGCATAATATTTTTTAAAAAGTTTATTTCTCTCACAAGGCCATGCCCACCTCAAAATCGGCTACATATTAAAAAAAAAAAAATATATATAGTGCTATCTAATTATATTCTATCTCATGTAATCTTCTAAAACTTCAAACCAAAAAGAGATTTTTAAAATATCTGCAGAAAATTGTAAACACAATCAGAATTGGCCGCGCCTGAGGATTCAAGGACTCCAGCATTACTTGGGCCTTATATGGATGTGAGGGCTGTAAATAGCGAATGCAATCTTTTATGAATCCGAGTAGGTTTATTTTTGACCCGGAAGTGTTAGAAAAATAAATAAACTACTTTCTCTTTCGCTTTGCCACAGATTTAGCCATTTTATGAATATTTTACATGTGTACCCTGTTACGGATTTCGTGAGATCAAGAAAAAAATTCTGTAAAATCGTGGAAAATAACTCCTGGCGTAAATAGTTTTAAAAAGTAAAAACAGTGGTCATGTCAACTTTTGTACTTAGTACTTGAGTAAAGCTTCATCAGGTCATCTCAGGCTTGGGACAATTTGAGATTTTTGTAGTGCAATATAATGGCATGTCATTGCCATGGAAGGATTTTTAAAAAGTCTACACATTACTAGTTGTACTATGGAAACATGAAAACAAAAGAAATAAATTCCCATACAGAAATGGGGTAGAAGGAACGGCTAGCGAAACAAAGCTGCCGTAAATAAAAGGAAAGCATCCAAGGTGAAACTGTAGAAAGTCTGTCAATATTACACCTTTGCAGGAGTTAAGGGGACAACAACATGCTGGAAGTGAGGAATGCCTTGATCACAGCCATTTGTCAGTCAGTCAACCATAACAATAACAACATGATAAGTCAGTCAACTGCTCAATCGATCAACTGTAACAACATCAGCTAATCAACTTTGACAGCCAATCAACTTTGACCATAACAGTATCATCAGTCAAAAGCTCAACTAATCAATTGCAAGCACAATATCATCAACCAATCAGCTGCAGGGACAATATCATCAACCAATCACCTGCTGGGACAATATCATCAACCAATCAGCTGCTGGGACAATATCATCAACCAATCAGCTGCTGGGACAATATCATCAACCAATCAGCTGCGGGGACATGAGTGAAGTTCTTGTAACGGACCAATGGCATCCACCTCTGATGAGCTCCTCTCAGTCTCAGGTTTCCCTCCGGCCATCTCTGACTCAGGACACACGAGCGACCGCTGAAGTGATGGTCCAGACACACCAAATCTGCTTGTTAATCTGTAAAAATAGAAGACATTGAAATAATCCTTGAGACACTTGAAAGAGTCTGCTTTTTTTCAGATATCGGCCAGAGTCTGCTTTTTAATCTGTAAATAGAAGACACATTGAAATAATTTTTCAGACATGGGTGCCTGAAGAAGAAGAAGAAGAAGAAGAAGAAGAAGAAGAAGAAGAAGAAGAAGAAGAACAAGAACAAGAAGAAGAAGAAGAAGAAGAAGAAAACACAATGAAAGTCATTGCAAAGCAAAGGCAGACCAACACGTCAGGCTGAGAGAAAATAATATTCCAAATAAGAACAAGAAGATTGCGCAACACAATTAAGATTTGTTTAACAAAACCTTTCGCATCCGTTCGTTTTATTTTCGTTTTAGTAGAGGTTTTATGGCGCTTGCAACTGCATAAGGTCATATGAGCACCAGAAGAATAGAGGTGTTACAAGAGAGTAACAAACATAAAAAAGAAAAAGGGGAGATAAGGACGAAAAATGTTTGATAGGAAAGAAGAAGCGTTTTATTTCAAATCATTATATTGACTTATTTCTCCACATTTCTCCCCCTTAGTTTACCTGCCACATCTCCAGGTCCTGCAGCCTGGCTGCCAGCGTCCACCACCGACTCTTTCTCTCCCTTCCTGGAGAAATGCAGGAAGCAGTTCCCTACCACCATGAGGAAACCAGCCACCAACATGAGGCCACCTCCGAGGTAGAACGCTTCGTCAAACCCTCCGAAGAAATCACGGAACGCACCTGCAGAAAGTTAAAAAAACAACAAAAACTTGATGACAACACGATAGATATCAAATTGACAGACACCTCCGAGGCAGAACGCCCGTCAAACCCTCTGAAGAAATCACGGAACGCACCTGCAGAAAGTTAAATTAAAAAAAAACAAACTTGATGACAACACGATAGATATCAAATTGACAGACACCACACCACGACTTATCAAAGACACCCCTCCACGACTTTATAGTGCGGTCAAAAATTCGTGGCGCAACTTATTGTGAAATATCTCTTCAACTATCGAACATAGGTTCTCCAATTTGTGCACAGTGGTTTGTATCAATTTGTCTTAACACATCAACATTTTTGTAAACACCTGCTAGCTGTACTATAGAAAATTCCTTATTACAATAATGAAAAATCCAAGCGGGTGGTTTCTACAGACTTTTAATTGGGGCAATATTGCTTTTACTAGCAAGTCCGTCATGTTTTTCTAATCGGGACATTATGCTTATTGAACGCATGTTTTGAGAAACATTAGAGCAAAAACTGCGTTCACTATAAAAAATAATTTCTTGTAACAAGTTTTAGAAGTGAAAAGTATCATTGATGAGCTGTGACGTAGGCCATATGCGTAATCAAAACGTTTGCGAGAAGCAGGAAGTGCTGTGAACAACAACATTTTACGTGTGACAGAGATTTCAAGTATTTCATATAAATCTATGAAAAAAAGTTTTTAAATCTAGCCCCAATTGTTCTGGAACAGTTATATTATTTAGTTCAGACAAATTGATACAAACGGCTGTTCAAAGTATGGATGACACTGATTCACGTGTTTAAGAGATATTGGAGGATAAGTTGCACCACGAATTTTGGACCGCACTAAGGAAAGGAAAAGATATAACTGTGGCAAGTCGTGTGGCTCTGGTGATCAGTGGCGGCGGGAGGGGTGGAAAGAGGGCGGGGCTTAAGCAGTGACCTTAGCGTACAAGAAACCTTTCTTGTACGCTAAGGTTAGTAGTATAGGGTTTTACGGTGCTCGCAACTGCGTAAGGTCATATGAGCGCGCGAAACAAAGTTGGTCTTGTTCACAACAGTTCGCTGTACGGCTGGCTCGGGTCAGTAGTTAAATCTTAAAATGTTAAAAAATCAGTGTAAATATACATATATTTTCAATGTAAAACAATGTTTCTAGTTAACATAAAAATTTGTAATACATGACAATGTAGACGTCTAGTACAATTTTACTTTACAATTTGCCATAAAGGCCAATGGCCTTCATAAAATTCAAAATTCTGCTGGGAACAACGACGGC